CTATCAATAATCCAGGGCCTCATACATTAGCTGGACCTAAACAGACAGTTTTATTTTTATTTTTATCGTAATCAAGCAATGCAAAATTTATAGATTTTAGATGTGTATACATTTTCACAGATGAGGGAAAGTTTCAAAGTATTGCACATTTTTATTGTCTTTTTTATTTCATTCACTTAATTTGATGAACCGGAGCAGCTTATTCGAATGTTACTAGGCTGAATTGCTATGGATAATAAAATAGAAAAGATTCAGATATCCACACTTGTCCCTGCATGGAGGAATTTGCACATACTGTACTTATGAAAGCAGAGAAGAGATTTTCCATGACATGAGAAACACAGATGCTGTTGAAATAAATACTTTTCCAGGGGATACAGTAATGTCCCAATATATATGCTATGACACATGCTGTACAGTAGAGTTATTATATTTCAGTAAGCACGTATACCTATTGGGAAGATGTAGCTTTCAGATTAGTGCGATTTAAATTCTGTCTTGTTGTGTTCCTGCAGCAGCTGGAGAGTGTAATGGGTTTCCATACAAGCTAAAGCATAGACAAATATTAGTCCCTTAGAAGAGCTAATAGAAATTAGATGCATGAAAGGCAGGCAACGATTTTTTTGTACCCAAGGAGGATCTGTACAAAGAAATGTCATTTTACAAGAAGCAGGATGGAATACAGCACATACAGTTGCACCAGTATGGAATAGGGGACTTAATTGGGTTTTGTAGCATTGAAACAGACAGCAAGTATTTCGTTTGCTATGAAAAAATCAAAGTAGAAATACGCAGAGTTCAAGCTGCTGATGAATTTTGCTTATATATGATCCTGAACCACCGAAAACTGAATATGCAAGGATTTAGCTGCACTGCATGTGGCAAAATATTTGAAAGAATTAAAGGCCATCGTCCTTCTCCCAGAGGTTTCATGCAACCTGACATCTCAGAAGCCCGGCTTCCTCATGTTGCTTTCTCGCGCGTGTTTGAATGTATTCTCATTTCTTAGATCACAATGTTGAGTCATATAGATTTAACAGCAAGCATCTTCTTAGGAAAAGAGGTCAGAACATCTTTTCATCTCTTCAGGCATCACTTTCCTGCAGTTTTTTTTTCTGCTCGGGTCACAGAGAAGTGGCTCGCTCATGGATTGCAATGATGGGAACAAGCTAGAAAAGATGCTGTCTGCATCGAGTGGAGTGAATTTAGCAGAGGGCCTTATGCAGGGTGACATGGAAATTATGTTTGCATTTTCATTTCCTGAGCGCTGCTGGTTGTCATGAAACTCCCCCTGACAGTTTCTTACCACCAGGCAGCAGATCCCTCCTCTCTCCTCCGCAGTGCAGGACAGATGCTCGCCAGTTCGCTCCCGAGCTCTTCTTGTGCTGTCCGATCGCAAACGACAGATGCCAGGGCCAGCGTGGCTTCTAGTTGAACATTTTTGTCACAGTCCTGCCTTGAGCCCAAACTGTGACCTTTACTGTATGAAATAAAGTACTAATGAACAAGTGGAGTCTTGATCCTAACCAGGCTCAGAGCAAATTCTGCAGCACTGGCTTCCCTTTTGCAGTCCACCTGCATTAGAAACATTTTCTTTTCATTCGGGGCTGGATGAACTTTAGGCCTCTCAGTTTGAGAAAGCTGACTGCTGCTGAATATCACACGCATGCAAGAAGCCTTTACTTTATTTCACCAATTACCTGTTGTGGATGTAGCCCTTGGCGTTGTTTTAAACAATAATTTGAGTCTGCTTCCTGCCATGGGACCTAAAAAAATGTCAAATATTTTATTTGAAAATCATCCGTTATTGAAATTAAAGAGAAAATATATTTGATCATTTTTAGAATATAATTTAATATATTTGTGTGCAAATATATAATTGGGGATTGATCATTAGATAAAGTTATTAATTGGAACAATTGTCTTAAAAAGGTTTCTTGATTTTTTGTTCTAGGGCTAAAAAATAAATTACGATATTATTTCAAAGTTCTTTAAATGATGGACTTTTGTTTTTTGGTGATTAACCATATGTTATTCGTTCTGGAGAATATACAAATCAGAAAAAAACAAGCGTTTTTTTCATTATGGGACTAGTTTAATAATAAAAATATCAGTTGTTCGAAAAGCACTAAAACAGAATCAGAAGTTTTTGTGTAAACAACTAAAAATCTTCTTCCCTGATGAACCAAAAAAAAAAAGATACACGGATAAAAAAGTTTTCTCTTTTTCTCAAATCTCTTCATTTTCCCTTACTGTGTCTCTGTTTAGCATCAATTCATGAACCTCAGTGTTTTCATTATATCATACATTCGGTACATTCAGTCATGCCCTATTCCAAACCTGGCTTAAAGAATGAGCTCCTTTGTCTCAACCTAGCATTCAGTTTCCAGTGATCTTGCTTATCATCTTCTCCAATGCAACACTTTTCTTCCCCGTAACCTGTCACTGTCTTTGCATTTTTCTCAGCAAAATATAACTATAACGGATATATCAGATCAAGTAAGTCTCTCATTTGTTTCTCTCTTCTTTTCTGTGCATACTCTGCTTTTCCTTTCTCATTTAGCACCTTCCTAGTAACATGTTCTGTGCTCTCTTTGTTTTGCGTTTAGTACTGTAGTCTGCACATGTTGTCCTTTTACTTTCCCTTTGGTGAGTAGCGTACCCCCTTTACCTGTTTGTATAGTGAGGAAGAAACATGGTGAAGTCACTGTTTGACTGGAGTTTTTGCTATTGAACTCATTATTAAGTACTGTTTTGTTTTTGTTTATTTTAGTCAAGTAAACACCGGTAAAAAAAGAAAAAAACCCTTAAAGTTACTTTAGCATCTATGCATGACATAGATAAGTAGCAGTTAAATGATTTTGTATATATGTGAGAAGAAAGGTCTGAGGAGTAGATAAGATACAGAACATGTAAAAGCATCGTGCTGTATAGTCATGAAAATTTATTTGTACCATCCTACCGTGAACAGCAGATGGGGCTAGAACTCCAAGAAAATAGGACAAGTAAATTTTGTAAAACTCCAATGTAAAACTCCAATTTGAGTGCTGTAAAATTGTAGTCTGCTAGTTTAGAATGTGTTTGGTGGTACACATTCAACTTTATTTTATTTACAATTACATACATCAAAGGTTTTAAGCCTGCTCACAATCCTACACTTTATAAATCCTAAAATTTGATTGTAGATAGTAAGGGATATTTGCGTTCTTGAAGCATATATGCAGTGTCTGTACTGTACGTGTGTGTATGTCAATGTCTATTTTGAAGCTAGGTATGAATATCTGAAATCTGTGCCTCTGAATATACAGTAATATTTTATCCAAGAATGCTTTAATTTCTCTCAGAAAATAGCACCTTGTACAAATGTAATCTTTTTTTCCACAATTACTGAACAAAAACCTCATGATCTGTTCAAAAGTGTAATGCAGATCAAATCAGTGAAAGTGCAAAAAAAAGGTGTTAACTTTTAGGACATTTACCAAGCATCATGATTTACTTTGGCAATCCAGACATGAAATGTCACATTTGTTCCCTAAAATCTTTAAACGAAATTTCAGTAAATCAGCCAACAAAAAGAAAATCAGCAAGTGTTGGGGGGGTGGGGGGGAGGCTTAGAATAAATCTCTAAATCAAAATGTTATGGAATTTTTCCATTTACGTCTGTGCTTGATAAGAAGTACATCACAAACTCATCATTTGATTTGCAGTTTAGGAAGAGACAGCCGCCGTCTGGATTATTCTAGATCCCCAGTGAAACTGCCACTCTGTGTATTCTCAAAGTAATGCTGTACATGTTTGACAAGGGGCAGATGAATCCAGGAGTTATCAGGGCAGGGTGTAAATCTATGCGGCAGCTGACGGTAGAAATAATCATCCATATATTGCTCTGAGCGAGTTCTGGAAAGGGTTGTACATGTTTTTTTCGTCATATACTATTTACTGGTTAACCCTCTTCCCTTTCATCCAGAAGTTATTCAAGCTGAATTACACAGGCAGAACATGCTTCAGCCTAGACAATTACTTAGAGAGGTGAATGCCACCAGGTGTCTCCAATATCTGACTACAGCCCTGCTGCTAAGGACCAGTTTCAAAGTGTGTTTTTTTGTGTGGTATTCACACAGGAGGCCGGTTTAAATAATTTATTTTTTTAAAGAATGGAGAGCAATCTGCATCATTTTTTTGTCAACTTAAAATATGTAGAAAGAAATAATTAAATATATGTTTATTTACAAAGTGTTTAGATTCTGCAGGATTTTTAAAATACAGATCATTTTAGACGGATGCCTTTGTTTTACAGTGAAAAGCAGTTTGGTTAAGCATATTTTTAAATAGCAATATATACATATGCCATGTAGGCAATTTAATTTTAAAGATATTTGAATTGTTTATCTTTCTGCTCTTTCATTTTTAGCTTTTTCATAGAAGAATGCCCACTCTTAATGAATCCAAGGTCTAGTTTTTAATAAATAATTTCATTTTACTTGTTCGGTATGTAATGGTAGAATCAGAATTGGTAAAGCTATGTTCAGTATTTTTAGACCATAAATTGTGAACAGCAATGAGCCCATCATATCAAAAGTATCAGTATACAGTGAGATCTTCAGTGGCATTTATAAAAGCAAGGAGCGTATTGTTTTATAAAAACTATCGTTTTTAATGAAAAAAAAATGAATGTATCATCTATGACATAAAAGACTAAAACACTTAAAGGAAAACAATAAAATTGCCATATTTATTTCTCAATGCACATATGAGGTTATTATTAAAGCTAGTTTTAACATATTGCTGGTAAGCCTTAACACCTTTTGTTTTGTGGTATGTACATTATACAGTGTACAGCGAATATAAAACAAAGAAAATCACTCCTGCTATAACACTGTCACAGAAATATATTTTTTTTCTGGAGGAGGCATTTTCAGCAACAGATTTTAACAAAAAAATGTTCTCAAAGTAACAGTCCTAACCCTAACTGATTTAACTTATTTTTCGTTATTTGGCAGTAAACGATGACGTTAGACCGACTTACCAAAACCGGTCTTACAAATTCAACAGCAGCGCTGCAGCTAAAGCTCTTCTCAGTGCAGTGCCCTTTGAAGACGTGGCTGAGCCCGTTCCTCTAGTTAATAACCGCAAAGGGAGCCTGTACCTGCCCAGGCTCAGCCTGCTGAGCCCAGGTGACCCAGGCTGGGAGGCGCCCAGCAGGTTGCAGCGAGCGCGCAGCCTGCCTGTGAAGTACCGATACCATCCCAGTAGCTCCATGGCGAATCACAGCCCCTGTATGTTCCCCTCAGCCGGGTGCACCCGTCAGTACAAACCACTTTGCATGTATTTGCAGTCTGAGTGGTTTGCATGTGTGGAGCTCCTTACTAATGACTGAATATGTGTAACTGTCAAGCTATGGAAAACAGAATGCCCCCAGACCGAATACATTTATTAGATTAAACAAGACTAGAAAAAAGGAGAAAAAAAATCTAATTACATCTGAAACTCCGACTCGGATATCTCAACAGCAATAAATGTTTCAAATCAAGGAGGAGGGAGGATCGGTAGAAGACAGAGATAAATATCGATACGTATGTTCCAGATAAACCACGTAGAAATGGGCCCAGTCGTTACCACAGGAGAGGTTATCAAAATGACCGTGATGAGAAAAGTCCAGTTTCCTCTGAAGAATATGCGTGTTACTCACATAGATATATCTTCTGCAGAATCAATGCTTTGTTTACTTCTATTGTGGTGCCCAAGGTCGATTCACTGGTGGTCTTCAGAGTGGCTTCGAAGGTTTTGTTTTTTTGTGGCAGTGATGGTCGTTTTTCCTGAGACTGTCTTGTATTCAAGTGGAAAGGTGGACATAGCATGAGAATCACAAAGAAATAAATTAAACACATTTCATATGACAACAATGAAATACGGAACTAAAAAAAACACTTAAAATGCCAAGGGTTCAAATCAAATATCGTATTCTGTATCGTTTTTTATAATTCAGACTAAAAGATAAAAATATGTAATGTGAAGAGAGATCATATTTCTATTTCATGTACAGGCTGAAATGACTCCATGACAACACTTAGTCATCAGCCATCAGGACTTGGTTTATTGAAGTGGGTTTGAATTTCATAATGCCAGAGGTCAGGTCTTCTCCTCCTTGACCAATTTGCATGCTACTTTTTAGCCTTTTCCATCTGTGAAATTTACCCCACGCAAAACTTACATTTTAAAAGTGTTAGATCAGTGTGCCTCATCAAAATTCACGATTCTCTATTTCTGTGTTATTAGCAATCATAGATGCTATGTCATATCTTTGGCACAGTAAATTTACTGCAATTGTGTTTTATCCAAATTTCCTCCTATTAAATCACCCCTAGATTGCTTGATATTGCATTGTCTGGCTTATGACTAAAGGGCAGCTCCTTAGGCTGTAAATTATAATTGTACTCAAGGCAGTGTGCCTTGGAGAACTAAGGGCACCACAGTCACTGAGTTAGGTAGTTCCAGAAATATGAATTAAATTGAATTCTTCAATTAACAAAATCATTAAAAGGAACACAGACATCAAAGAGCCATAGTTTCAAGACATCAATGTGTCAGTAGCTACACACATCCTGTAATTTTTAATTAGCATTAATATGCATAGTCTGCTACGTAATTATGTGAAATTTGAGTTAAGTATGTCAATGGATGTTTTAAATATATAACATATACTATTCAAACTGTAATAATATTGTCAAAATGATCATATTATACTGTAAGAATTATTTTCTGCAATTTAATAGGCTACAATTTCAAATGGATACCTACTGTATAGTACAAGGTTATCATATTCTGTGTAGGGGTAATTGCTTGCAGTACACATACTAACAACGTGTTGTGGTATTAAATTTTTCCTGGATAACTAATAAGGGTTTGAAGTGACAGTGACTCTGACATTTCTATCACTTATCTGTACATAACATTTTCAGAAGTGCTTGTCTAAAGGCACATGAAATACACAAGCTCTTTAAATGATCAAACCACTGTTACCCAGTCTCCTTTCTTCAGAATAGGCTTGTTTTAGATATTCCTTTTTCAAGTTGGAAAGTCTTCTTTTATTCTATTCTGTGTCTCGCTTTGTAGTTTTAGTTTAATTTCTACGAACGTGAAGCAAATAGATAGATCCTCTGGTAACATAAAAGTGAAAGTTTTTGACAGAAGAGTTACAATTCAACATAGTGAGGAATAATTAATAAGAAATGGAAGTAGCATTGCACCAAGCAAAAGGAAAAAGATTGTTAATGTCATTAACACCAGTTCGTTGGATTCTCAAACTAATGAAAAACTTTCAGTGAAACAAGTTTGCTTCTTTAAAAACCTCTGTGCCTCTTGAGTTTTCATGTGCCATTTTGTATCACTTCAGATGCAACCAGTATTGGGTTTGAGCATTGCGTTAGATTGTGATCCCTTCCTCTGTGTGCATGTAGGTTAGTGGTGGTGAGAAAAATTGAACCTGATCTTTTCAGCATGTTTAATTTGTTGGCAGTTAACAACGCTTGGGATCGTGCTCAGTAACACACAGTGTTTCAGAGTGAAGCTGGGCATCTCAAGATGGTGGCTGTCAAGGGAGCATGAGTGTGGCAGGAGAGCTGTGACAGAGCAGAAGGCCACTAGTTCTGGGTGGCATGGCAGGGATTGGTGTGCTGTGGAGACTCATCGTAGTCAAAAAGAAAGCTGGAAGCACTCTTGCCTGTCAGATGTATTTTGCCTTCCCTTGTTTTTCAATAAACAGTGACAATCAGACATATTTAAACAGGATCTAGTGATGCAGACTGCTGTAGGTCCAGCCGAGCACATGTGCAGTTATTTTGATGGAGTGGCACATCGATTTTCAGAATGATTATTCATTCCATTTGTCCTATTAAGATGGCAGATTAAGATTGTGTGCCCTAACCTTCCACACAGTTCCCCTCCCCTTACTAACATGTTAGCTTTCTGTTTTGAGGGTCTTTTCAGACTTTTGCAATGACTGATTGAGTGTTGGCTTTGTGTTCTTTAATATGTCATTTCCATTACATATTACAATTTCAGCAGTCCATAATCTGACACCTTTGCATATGTTCGCAGTCGAAGACGAGCATCCATCAACACTGTCACCTAAAAAAAAGCAGCGAAATGGAGGCATGCGAAATTCACCCAACTGTTCACCCAAAATGATGAGGTAAGACGACAGCTTTAAAAAAACTCTTCTGGCTTTCAGAAACAAGGGAGCGAGTGAGGGAGAGGGAGACAGGGAGAGAGAAAGAGGGAGAGAAAGGGAGAGTGAGAAGAACCCTTTAAGGCTGAAGTATTTATTCTGTCAGCTTGTCAGCGGTTAATGATAGAGCTGAAAAATTTCTGTCATGAAAGAGAGTATGAAAAGCTGTTTGAAAAATACTCTTGCTTTAAAGTCTCAGCTGTCACCCCAGTCCCGTCCACATGTATTTCTTAAACAGCAGTGGCACTAATGACAGCACTAACCAATCAGAGGGACTCATGCGGTTACTTCGCCTAAGGCCATTCGTCTTTTGTAGGAATCCCTCTGAGTACTGTTTTTGGTACTTAAGGCCATATGTGAGATGTATCATCGCAATCAAAAATGAACTCAAATATTACCTTCCTTTTATCTTGTCCTTTGGAATTAAATTGCTGTTAATTGATTTTGACTGATGAAAGGGCTAAAATTCAACACATGTGGTCATGAGATGAAGAGCAGTATGCATTGTTAAAAAAATACACTAAAGCAATCATTCAGTGAAATCACAAAGTGAAATCTTTGTGAGAGGGGTTTTGGGGGATACTTCATACTTAAAGTTGCTTTCTTTTGAGAATTGATTGCTATTACTCTTTCTCTTTCCTGTTTCTCTGTTTATTTTTGAAAATCTATAAAGAATGTTTCACCTTAATAACGGCGGCGTGCTGTGTACCTCCACATTAGCTTAAATTTGTTGACTGACTCGTCAGATAAAAGAATTGCACACAACTAGTATTTGCTACTGTTGATTCTTAAATTTAGAAAACAGTTTTTTGAAGATAATATTATTTTATGTTCGGTAGCCTACTTCAAAAACTCTTGATGCTTTTATTCAATCAGAGGAAACATTTTAGAAGAGGAATTAGTAAGTATTGTCAGAATTAGTTTCTTCAGTAACATTTATGGTCTCATGAAAATTGTACTTTAATATTTCCTTGAAACTCAAAAGAATGTTTTACAAATGTTATGCTATGATGTACTTTATAAATAGAATCTGCTCTGTAGGCTGTAAAATAGGAATTAGATTAAACATAGTCACATCCTTTTAATGCTTTGGCAAATATGTTCTGCTGCCTTAAGTATGAATCTGTATTCTTCTCTCAATGTAATTGGGTGATAGTAGGAAACATGCATCAATACATGTAAATCATGTGCACTCTCTCCATCTATTAAGGCAAGATTGTACATTATATATTCAGAAAGAAAAGTAGAATGTATGTGGTATTAGGTAAGAGGGTCTGATGAAAAGTTTGCTGTGTTTTTTTAAATAAATCTTACTTAACTGCAGCGGCCAAGGTGTAGGTGTGGGTGAGCACTTCCATTGTTTTGTTTAATGGTTCTGTTTGCCCAAAAGCCCTAATCAGCTAACATAAGGATACAAGAAAAGTTTGCAGACGAGAGGAGGCCATTCGGCCAGTGCTCTTGAGGCTCTCATGCTAGTGAGATTGGGGCACAGTTCAGCCCGCCTCTGTCTGGCCTGCTCAGTACAGGCTGCACTGATGCTTGGGGCCCATCAACACCCAAGCGACTCTTCCGCCTCTCGCCTGCAAAAGGGGCTTGAACGCCAGCGCCGTTCTCTCCCCGCTGGTCTCCGCCCGGGGAGGCGCGACGTGTCACAACTGGGGCACAACTCAACGTGCCTGCCACCGTGCCTTCTGCTCCATACCATGAGTGTTAAAACCCACCTCGGGTGGCTGTTAAAGGCATTCTCATATTGGTTTTAGTGCCACTGCTGAAGGCAAGAAGATAATACGAACTGCACGCAATGAAGGTAGAATTCTGAAACTGATCCTGTTAAAGGTCTGAATAGTTGTAAAGTGGATAAAAAAACAAGAGACAAAGAGTTGGACTGCAAACAGCAATACACTGTTGTTTGTAAAACAGAGCTGAGATTTAGACCCAATGCTTTTTGTTGCCCTTGCTTTCCTTACAGCAGTAGTTAGGAATAGTACTATATAATTGCTTAGGACTACTTGTGCTGTATATCCTAAAAATGCAGAAATGGACAGCCCTGCCTTTTCCTTTTGTAGATCTTGTGCGGTAAACAAGAAGTGTGGTTAAGGACTTCACATCTCTTTTCTTAGACGTATTGTTTCACCAGCCTCCACAGATTCTAAACCATTAGCCTTATAAAGGTTCTTCGCCTGTTGGAATCCGTTACACAAGAGAGCGTTGTTAAAAACACCCATGATAAAACTCCAAAGTAAACTGCAGTTTTCTATTTTCAAAGAAAAAAAAAATTGGCGTATTTCCAAATAACTGGTTGTTTTGGAAAGCTATCCAGTTTTATTCCTTAACTTTTAGGAGAAAACCTTTTTGTGTGGAGTGGAAGGTCCCTGTTTACCATGTAAAATATGCATCTTTTCTTTGATCTTTGAGTAATAATAATTCTTGGGAGTTATTTACACTGTTTTGATATACTTCAAAGCAGTGTCAAAGTTTTGCCGCTGTAGGGTACTTCTTTATTCTACTGGCTCTTGGGTACTGAGATGACAGGTCCTCTGTACTAGGTGCAGGCTTTTTTCAAGTCATAGCCCTCAGCAAAACATCAAATTACCAAACATAGACTAGCCTACTTCTACACAAATGCCTTTCCTGTAGATATATTATACCATATATATTAAATACTTTAGTGTTACAAGGTGCATTTTATGCGCAATAGAAAGTGATGGTTTGAGGTAGCCTTAGGGATACTTTATTCTACAAGCAGAAAAAAAAGCTAGTGTATACTGTATCAAGTATGGTTTTTACAGGACTCGGTGCCTCAAGGCCTTTGTAAATAAGTAATGATCAACAGATTGGCTGTGGGTTTTTGAAAAGCATGCCTTTGTCAGTTTGCATGATGGGGAAAATTTTCAAAGCAAAGCCTGCTTTCATTGCCTGCTGAAGAGGGATTGAGGGAGAGGGCTCATCCCAAGCTAGCAGTGTCTGCTGAGCATTAAACTGGAATAGCTAAACATAACTTGAAAAATAAACCGAAAGCTTGCCGAGCTTTAAGGGCAGATTTAAGATTTTCAGTCTTAACCAACACGGTTGATACATGAGCCTCCGATTTCTAATTAACACACAGTCGTTAAATGGAACGAATAGAGAGGTTTCCTGCTGAAAAGGGGGAAACAATTACTGTGAGATAAAAAAACATAACAAAGACCTGGTTCCATCACTCCGATCCATGTGTCTGTTTCAACTCCAAGACCTTTTTTTGCAGAGAAATATAATTTGGAGTTGAGTAGAGTAAGCCCTTAAGTAGTCCCTTCTCTGTTTCAGCATTTGCCGTTTCAGATCCTCTGTATATCTGATATACAGATCTCAGAGTTTTAAACAAAACCATTCTTGCGCTCTCGGGTTTTTGTTTGGAGAGGGTGGGGGCTAAGAGAGGCTGATGAGAACAATATGGCTACATGAGTCAGACTGTTTCCCAGCTGGCTTGTCATTGAGGTAAAAAGAGCTACGGCGGCCTTACAGAAAAGTCTCCCACAAATGTAATGCCATTCCTATGGACTTTTTGTAAGGTTTTCGTAAGGGTCACGGGACCTGCCTAATTGCAGGAAGTCACAATGCATGTGCTCAGATCTCCCCGAATTGCGGCAGGAAGGCAGTCTCTGGTCCGCAGGAGTGGTGGCTTGTGACAGGCAGTCATCAGTGGCCGTCTGTGAAAGACAGCTATCTTGGCAGAGCTCTGCTACACCCGTCATCACAGCTAGGGAAGATTGAAGTGACAGGGGTCCTGAGAGCGAACAGCGAAACAGGCGGCACATAATGAAATATTCAGTTGGAGTGTAAAAGCACTAAACGCTTTCTCTGTTATTAGCACCTGTACCAGATGATTTCTATCTCCATAAAAAGCTCTTTAATTGACATTTTTTTTAATGTTATGTTTCTGTAATCAAAAAGAAGGATAAATAAACAGTAAGGGGAAGAAAATAAAAGGAAACAAGGTATAGAATGAACCTGGGAATGTTAAAAATGACACACTTCTATTACAAAATAATACGTCAGTATATTTTTATAGCAATTTATTCAGAGGGAAAAAAGTGAAAAGTGCAAAGTGATTAATGATTTTTGATTGGTTTTACAACAGAGTATCACAGAACTAACATTGTTTGGATTGAATCTGTTGTTTTTAGGGTAGAGTTATTTTGTAATGGAAATTTTACAAAATTAACCAGATGAATATGAAATAAAATACTTTTGAGAAATATTTCATATAATAAATGTGATAAATAAGCTCAGTGCCAAACATACACCTAAGAACAGCATCAGGGAAACTAATGATGCAAAACTTTATTCAAGAAAATAATTAAACTTTTTGTTTTTTTTAGGGAAAACAAATATTCCTTATGACATTTTAAAGTTTTATCATCAGCCAAATTGTTAAAAATCAGCCTGTAAGATGAAATAAATGAGTTGTATACAAATTGCAAGAAAACAATTTGTATACAATTTGTATAAACACATTCTTATATTGATAAATAATTTGGAAAAATCTATTTGTCTAGTTTAGAAATCTAAAATCTAAAATTTAGAAATCATCTTCAACACTTCTGTATATTATTTTAATTAAAAAGGTAAAATTGTAAATTCTATCAAATCATTGTTAGTAATCTAATATTTGCTTCTCAGAATATAGGATGACCTCCTCTTATTGATTACAAAGTTACCACATCATGCTGTTATTTTTTAAGCTAATGCAGCAGTCTGTAAAGAAGGAAAGCATTATTGCTAACCAGATGCAGAAAGTAAATGGAAACATTCAGGAAAGTACAGTATTACCTTGATTTAAAAAAAAATTAAAAGCATCTGCATTAATTATTTTATGGTATTGGCATAAGTTTTGATAATGATAAAAACTGATGTTTTTTTAATAAGTATTAATTTTGATTTATGATTCCATACCAAAATATTTTGAAGTCACACGTTTCTTTGTAATATACTGTATATATACTATATGTCATATATACTGTATATATAATCTACATACTGTATATACGGTAACTAAAGATACTGTATATAAATATGTATGTACTGCTGTGCACAAACAGTAAGAGATGTCTCATTTCAGGACACAATTTCAGAATGATACCCACTGGCACATTGAAACTGTCTGTGATCTACTCCCTTACATTCGCCCGAGTTGTGCAACATCTACCACAATAGTTGCAGACTGTGACAATGAATGAAACAGCTCACAGGGCTACACCTCTCAATGTGCACTCATCCCAAGAGAAACTGACTGCACAGCTCATGTCTTTGAGACGAATGACTGTACATTGTGATAACCATGGCTGTCTGGTACAGACAAATAAAGTTGGGTGTCAGTGACTCATTGATAGACTATATCCCAGAGGTCAAGTGTTTCGACATGTCTGTTCATGATAGACTGCGGTGGCTGTGTTTGGGGGTGGTGTTTTGCAGGAAGGGGTTCATCGTGAACAATATGTGGCACTGGCTACACACTACCATGACAGTGTTATCGAGCATCACATGTTACCTTTTGCTTGTTTGCAAGTACTAGATACAATGTCTTGGTTTTGATCCCATTTGGACAAGAGAAAGGGATTCTAAACATATTTTACTGTCAGTTAAAACCAGCATAGTACCACGACAAAAAGCATTAAAAGATAGATTTTTTTGTGTTTCACATTACAATTTCCATTATTACAAGTGATGGTTTTGTTAACTTAGAGGTTTTGCAGTGAAAGGTGTAATGAAGAATAGAGCTGTTTCCCTAAAGCAGCTTTACTGGAAAGGTATTTATACTCTTGCCCCAGGCTATTACCTTAAAGGCAGGCTTTCTGACCTGTTCTTAGAGCCTGAAGCACAGCAGGTTTTTCTTGACACTATTACTCATTTTTTTAATTCGTCTTAAAAGTATGATTCCTAAAACAGTCATATAAATCACCTGTATTACATTTTTAAAAGGAAAACGATAATCTAAAACTAAATTATTGATTACAGCATACAAGTATGTCCTCATTTATAATTGGATATTTAAAATAACTATTTTATTCTATTAATTAGTACATACTGGAATAATCTAATTTACTTTTAACGTTTTTAAAACAAAAATATTGTCCTCAAAGAGTTTTTGTGATAAATGCATAATATTTCTAATATGTACAATATAAATTTAACTGCAATTTTTTAGCAGTCTCCTTAGAAATGAACAATACTCTCCTGTTCATGTAGATTTTATTTTCTTATTATTGAATGATAATTAGATCAAAAGTTCCCATTGTCTATTACACACAGATTTCAAAGAAATGTCTCTTCTTGATCCATATTTATGTGTAGTTCTTGTTTATTTTGGATTATAGCAAAGGGTCCATATAAACCCAAATATTTGAACTGTTAATACCTCCAGTCATTAACCACAATCAATCCAGTCATTTATCAGTTAATTAAATTGCCTGGATTCTGCCAAATGTACGATTGTTTCCTGTTGTGTCCAGCTGTATTCAAATTAGCTTGTTAAAAGCATTTAACTTCAGTAGATGGCTTCTGTGACGGCTTGGTGTGCAGCTCCAGTATTGCTGCTTTCCCCAGCTCACAATTTTCTAAGCCTGAGAAGATCATGCTTTGAACATGAACACAAAGACAGCAAAACCACTGTTATCCCTGTGTTATGCAGAATAAAAATCAGCTGTTCATTCTGTTGATATAAATTAGCCTGTTTGGTTGTGACACACCGTTGAAACATTAATGGACTTCGGATTTGGAAAGCAAAATGTGATTGGGCAAATTGCTAAAATATTTAAAGTTAAAGCTTTTACAGTGAAGAGCATTGCATCAGAAGTTGCAAGTGGTGAAAGCGTGTAATTGGCTTTCTGTTCTAGTGCCAGTCAGTCACCACTGTTTCCATCCCTTCTGCCTCGCTGCCTGCGCTGACGTCTGCACTTTGTGCATTTTGGCATCCAGAGGGGTGACTGTGGCAGGAGCAAACAAACAAATCCAAAGACAATCCGAATCTTGTGTTCGGGAGGCGCTTTGGTAAAACAGCGCACATTTTCCGTGCTTTCTGGCCCTTGCTTTCATTATTGCGCTCGTATTGAAAGGTAACAAAAAAAAACCCCAACAGAACTCTAGCTGAAGCCTGCAGTTTGCCGATTCACATTCTTGACGCAGGAGGTCTCTGGAACACAACCCGCAGTGGCAACGTGGCACAGTGACAGGGGCTATTCGGGAAACAGAACTGTAGAACAGAGATGATGCCAACAGTTTGTCAATTCATTTTCACCAACAGGCCAGGAACTCCAGCTGTAGTAAACCTGGAATTAGTATAATCCTTACAGTCCTTCGCTAATGTGGTTTATTCATAGATGGATGGTAGTAATTAAAAGTTAAATTGAAGTAGAAATCAAAAAACACAGCAAACAGTCTGCTCTTTGGTCTGCCTTTAACATAAGAGTGCCCATCTTAGACACCTTGATTTGCACTGTAAAATGGAACTGTCTTTATTATCACTATTATTTGTGTACCTTTCCATCTTTTCTGTCATGTCTGCTGTGTGGGTAGATTTTTAGTTCATCTTACAAAGCAAATACTGAAAAGCAACAAAAAAAAAATACATCTCAGAAAAATCTTTAAACTCTCTCCTGAAGAACAAGATTAAAAACAGTGTGCAGTTTGGTTGGAGATGTGAATGAAATGACAATACTGGGTTAAACCATTTCGTTTCTGCCTTCTCTCGTCACAGACATGATCCTTTACTCATCCCGGGAAATGAGCAGATCGAGAACATGGATGTCAGTGTGAAGAAGTACGACTCCACAGGGATGTTTCACTGGTGCCCATCCAAAGACATAGAGAAGGTTATCCTGGTGGGTATCACAGCATTCCACCTCAGTAAGAGTCACGTGAATTGATCCACTTCTTGCATCTTCTTTCACAGTTAATTCCTTCTCATGTACTGGATACACAATCAAGGTTAGCAGCCACGGAGGGCTGTACTTGGACATGGACTAACCAAAGTTAATGTCACTAACCAAAGCTAGCTATGCTATACTGATGGGCCCTAATAAGAGCAAACTATCTGCTCTAGGCTGCTGACTTTGATTGTATAGGCCCAAAACTGAATTTAAGGTCAGAAGCTCATGAACACTCACATTCTCATAATTCATAGCAACTCGTGGTTTTAAAATACACCATACAGTGTAACTCTGAAAGGTGTTCTTTCTAAGATGTATATATACAGTGCCCTCCAAAAGTATTGGGACAAACATGTCAAAAGTTATTTTTGCTCTACAGTCAAGGAATTGGTATTTGTGGTCATGAGATTCTTATAAATAAGTTCAATATAATATTTTATATTATATCGGGTAATTGCTAGCATAGCTTGGTCATATTACAGCAATAAATAGTGTTCAAAGTTCAACCCAGTGATTTCAGGTGACCACAAGTATTGGGATAAATTTCAGAATTAAAGAGTATCTGGTGACATATTCTTGAGGCGATAACTGCATAAAATGTGCTACCCACTGAGCTCACCAAACTTTTGGTGAATTCTTTTGTGAGTCCTTCTTATTTAAGGGTTTTTTTTTGCATGTAAAAGGCTCTCTCAATTGGATTTAAATTTTAGAGTCAGTGTGTTTTTACTGTGTCACCTCCTGATTAACTACTTGTTATATCAGCGGTATCATTTGGGTCACTGTCATGATACGTACTGTATATGGTAAATCCTATTAAATCTGCAAGCATTTCCTTCTACACAGGCAGACAAAATGTTTCTGTAAACTTCAAAATTCGTTCTGTTCTTGTCTCCATATTAACATCATCAATAAAGACAAATGAGCCAGGCTCCAGAGAGGTGGTGTTTTCTGGAGAATCTTCCTTTCATTCTGCACACTTTTAATCTATAAATCACTTTGGTGAAGGTTTATCTTAATCTCAGCTGTCCACAAAACTTTCCTGGCTCATCTGTGTACTTCCAAGCAAATTCTAAAACTGTTTTTTCTGCTCATGGAACTAAAAACAGGTTTACATCTTGAAGTGTATCCTTTGTTGTCCCTGTCTTTTGTGAACTGTGGATTTTAAAACCTTCACCAATGCACTCTTGAGGTTGTAGATGATTTCACTGACAGTTGTTTTAGAGTTTTTCTTTACAGCTCTGGTAATTTTTCTGTCATCAGCTGCAGATGTTTTTCTTGTATGACTTGTTCTTGGCTGATTGGTAATTATGCTTGTGGTTTCTTTCCTCAATTTTTTTCAAATTGTTGTTTTTGGTATACCCAATTTCTGTATTGTGGTTTTGATTGACTTCTCCTTTTCTTTAGCTCTCAGAATTGCCTGGTTTTCTTTAACACAAAGTTCTTTGGTTTTCATTTTGACTTGCAACTCTGGAACATTGAACATTGAAGTCAAAGCAACAGGGGTTTATAGGATGTTCACAGCTCTTTTATTATCCTAATAACCAAACAAAAAAATGTCTGACCATCAACAAACACCTGTCAGCCAATTTTCCAAGCACGTGCGTACTAGCTGCTTTTGCAGCTGTGTACTTAATGGTGAACTGGTTAATACGGTACTTAGATGAGATCATCTAAGCTCTGAGGTCAATTGCAATGAAAAAACGCTTGGAACAAAGTTGGAGACCAGCTGAACTTGTGCTTAACTTGTGCTGATTGCTCAGCATTGTTGTTGTTCTAATTAGCAAGAGGCTCTGAATCAGAACATTTCAATTAGTCTGTTAATATTTACTGTAGCCCACGTGAATATATAATTATTACTTTGTATATCTTGTGTTTGTATATGACTGAATGTCCCTGTCAGTATTTAATTTATGAACTGCATTTATTGTTAAATACACGGGATTACATTACGTAACTACTAATGTGGTACTCAATTGGCATTAAGTCACAAAACAAACAAATATACCAGCTGCAGGTTTGAATTTCAACATGTATTATAGCGGCTTTTATTCCCATTGATAAATGAAATAGATTCATAAGGAGATCCTTAAGAGAAATAGGCGCATTTTATAAATGACAATTTTATTCATAAACACATATTAATAAACTTCATTATTAATAAATGTGGTGAGACTGGAAAGCAATATAAGTTAAATATTACAGTAAGTTTACAAGAGATGGATGCATAAATTCATTTCCTAGTGACAGTATTATTTTCACTTTATTCGGAAATCCAGTGTTCCATTTAGTACTCTTCTGAGTTGTTAAACTGAGTTGGATTAAGTTAGTCTCCTAGTTTAGTAACCTTTAGAGTGCATCAGCTGTTATTTTGGGTCCATTGCAATTGAGAACAGGTTTAGTACGGAGCTGGGGACTAATTTCAAGTTCATTTTAAGGTAGCACACTAGTTTAGCACGGAGGTGCGTGCTATCCACAGGTTAAACCCCAGTTAGTATGCTGATTTCAGCTCATTGCAATTAGATCATTAGTTTATGATGACCATTGAGGTCCTTAGTTGACCTTAGAGTTGAGTAGTTTTATAAGATAAAATACTTACTGTAGGATATCAATGTGGCAGGCCAGTGGTCATGAGAATATTAGTTTCAGATGACCTGCTACTAGAGGTCATTAGGGTTTAAATGTTTGTACCTACAGTAGGTTAACGTGTGGTGCAGTAATTGATTAATTAGATACTTGGTGAAGGGCAGAGAGCCACATTCTCATATGGGTTTAATTTAGACTACTTTGGCATATATCATGGTGGTAGTTGTTGTTGGTTTGCTCAGAGTAGGTATTTATTTTGTGTGTATATTGAAGAAAAAATCTCATTGCACAGTATTTTGCTTTCCATCGGGATTTTCCATGTGATTAGGCCTCATACGTCACCCACTGAGAGGAGGACCTGTTTATTTTTCATGAGGAATGATTGTTATTACAGTTCATAGTAAGTTAGTTGAGATTTCACTGTCCCAATATTTTTGGAAGGTTCCATATATAAATAGATAAAAATATAACACATTCAAGTTAACTTCAATGTTGCTGTTCAATTCAGTGATAGTTTGAATCCTTCATATGGAAAAAAATGATATTTTCATTTGTATTCATTTCTTGTGTTCTGAATTTTCCCCTCTTCCAGACTCGAAGTGAAGCGGCCATGACTGTTCTCAGTGGGCATGTAGTTGTCTGTATATTTGGAGATGTCAAATCTGCTCTGGTGGGACTGAGGAACCTAGTGATGCCTTTAAGAGCTAGTAATTTCCATTACCATGAGCTGAAGCACATTGTGTTTGTTGGCTCTTTGGAATACCTTCGACGAGAGTGGGAAACACTGCATAACTTCCCCAAGGTTTCCATCTTGCCTGTGAGTACAAGTTCATGTCATTCTTACATTTTCCAAGATGGCTGTCAGACACCTTAGGGTAACACCTTATCTTTTGTGGTATTTGCTACAATATCTACAATATATGCATTATGCGCTGATTTTTAAATTGATCCAGGCCTTTAACAGCTTTCCCCATTACTGCCAAACTGGTCAGTTCGGTGCTGTATCATTTGTTAAAGCTTTGCTGTATGTTTTTTTTTTTTAAATTAACTCTTTGTTAAAAACTTTTCACATTATTATTATTACATCACATTATTATCCATAAGAAAAAAAAGTACAATTTAGTTTAGGCTCTGTCCATGTTAGTCACATACAGAGAATCTACATTTCTCAGGATGTGGTCCCATCTGCTGGTCTAATTTTACTACATAGGATCGTCTTCAAAAAACAGATAAAGTTTAAAGCAAAAGCTAGTGAATTACAGTCAAAGTGCACTAGCAAAACTTTCACTCAGCTAGTTGGAAAAGGGAATAGAAGTCACTATACAGGCTCTGTTTAAGGCAGAGCTACAGTAGCTTCTACATTTTGCATGACATGGGTTTGTACCAGTATTACCAGGCTTAAAATGAAACTTCCACTGCAGTAACTAACCATGTGATGTCTCTTCAACAAAGGGTACACAAATAAATGTTACAACTGGAATGGAAATTTATCAATACTACGGGAGTCCCCTCAAAAACACACTTTTAATAAATAACAGGTTTTTGGAAGAAGAAAGAGTTAACAAATACGCTTTTTACCTTAGGAATGGAATTTAAGGATAAGTTTCTGATGTTATTTTATTGAAGTTCTACCGTTTTTGTAGCATCAGTTTCGACAGTAATCATTTTTTAATCAAACCTTGTTACTGAAACATTTCATCAAGAAAGGAAACCCTAACACAGAATAGCAGTCATTTTATTTCTGCTTGGATTGCAACAAAAATAAGGTCTATTTGCTATGATCCAATTGCTTTGCATAGCTAAGATGTAAAATGCTGGCATAATGCCCTGCTTTTGTGCTTGTTAGCAATGGCTTGAATGAGTATTAAAACTGAACCCAAAAACGCTGCCATCAGCACCAACTACCCTTTAGATTAATACACATCTCCGATTCCCCAGCACGTAGTTAGATCAGCTGAATGTCACAGCATAAAAAAAGAATACTTGTTAAGTAATTTCCCAAAGCTCCTTTCTCAATCTTTAATTTGTTTTTCTCTTTTTTTTTTTGGCGCCGAAGGGTACGCCATTAAGCCGGGCTGATTTAAGGGCTGTCAACATCAACCTCTGCGACATGTGCGTTATCCTGTCAGCCAATCAGAACAATATCGATGATGCTTCGCTGCAGGACAAGGAATGCATCTTGGCGTCACTCAACATCAAATCTATGCAGTTTGATGACAGCATTGGTGTCTTGCAGGCTAATTCCCAAGGTAAGGACTGCCCTATAATACTTCACTGCACTGCCTGCAGGGGACAAGACCTGGCAAGAAGAATATCCCTCACTCAGTGGTTGAAAAGACCTCACATCAGCTTGGCTGACAGTTAAACCTGCTGATTACTACAGTGGTTTAAAGAAACAGCCATCCTTTGTTTTGTTTTTTTTATGAACCACGGTCACTAATAAATTGGCCTGAACTAGAGAAGATTATAAATGGCTGAGGGGGGATAATTTAACATAAAAATATGAAATTAGAAAAAAAAAACACGAAAGCGTTGGTATTTCAAGTTGACTCTTTTATAACACAAGTACTGCACAATTACATTTATCGACATTTTAGTGCTGTGCTTTATCCGTAGGGTTCAATTCTCCTGCGTGGGAACAATCTCATGGAAATGTTTTTCAAAGCCAGCAGTTATACTTTGAGGACAGGTGATCTGTACAAGATCGGCAGTCATGTTCCTAATTAATATCTGCAGCAGCTTTTCTGATCTCAGGCCCAGTTAATCAGTTTTTCTTCATAAACTTAGACAAGCATATTTACCCTGTTGTGCCCATCACAATTTGTCATCTTTAACTGGAAGAAATGATTTTCATATGGCACTTGTTTCTGTTACAGTTGTTTAACTTTCTCAAAAGTTTTGTTTTTCTTTGTTAATATTATGTGGAACACTTCTGAACTAGAGAGGAAATTTGCTGTCTGAGAAGGAATCGGTGTACATATGGATACCTCACACATTAGATCACACTTCAGATTAAAACTATGAAGATCTCCAGAAGTGTAATTAATTTGCACAGCTTAATTTATTAAACCTAAAAAAAACAATTTACTTTACCCAAGCAGTCCTGAAGTAAAAACAAAACCCTACCGAAGTGTTTCTGTTTTTAAATTGTACTGTGAATTTTAACCCTGTCTCTGTTGCTACACACCTACTGCAAGATGATCTTTTTAAAACGTAGAGAGCAAAATAATTAAATGAGACAATTCAAGCAAGTTACAGGGGACCTGACATACTGACACTTTTGTCTAGGAAATCTATCAATACATAATGATGATTCTTTTCTATATCAAACTTAGTTTTGCATTGGGTGTTTATAGTTCCAGTAGAAATGAATGCATTTTAAAACAAATGCAGGAAATAAACATAAGAAGTTGTGATGTACTGTATGGTCTTACGCTCCTTTTCCACGATAAAAAAACTGGTTTGAGTTAAGATCTCAATAGTGTATTGTAAAATACAACACAATTCTACATTATACTTCTACAATAATATCATTTACAATATTGTGTCTTTATTCCTCTGCATATTGGTATATAAATATTTTTCAGAAATGCAGTGATAATAGTGGTACAGTACATTTTAAACCGCAGTGTACTAAGGAGTTGTCTTTTGGTAACAATTCAAATGTTGATTACTCACTCTGGACCCAAAGATTAAAGCCCCTTTTTATATGACAAATGTGTTGGCACTGTCGTTATCCTTGATTGCAAGTTTTAGATCATTCCGACACAGGCGGACAGTGTTTCCATCGCTTTATAAATATTTAACTTTTTATGCTTTCAAAAAGATATTGAAACATAATTTAGAACATTGAAACTTTCTTGCTCGCCTGTCCTCTGATGGGGGGCACCAAAGTTTAAACAAGGAGATGCAAATAAGTGTTCGTGAAAGAGGCTTACAGAACATGCAGCAAAGAACGGGCTTAACTACAGAATTGTTGTCGTCCTGTTTCCTCTAAGTGAAGGCAGAGGGGAAAACCACCACTCTATTTTACTCTATTTTACAACCCTGTAAGACGTGTAGTCACTCTGCAAATTCCTGTGTTACAGTAATCACACCGCATTGGTTGCTGAGGTGGTATGGACAGTTACATCGCAACCATGAATGAAAGTAGTCTATTTTTCAATAACAGCCAATCAGCAGAGCAAATATACAGGAAGACAAGCATGTCTGCAGCGTAAAACCTGTAATGTACTGTACAGTATACAGTCCTCGCAATTAGCCTCTGAGTGTACTGTTATCCAATAACACTTCAAGTGCACCAGGTTAACCCCTGTAAGCATTTTAAAGTGAATTCATCATGTAAAGTTTTTATTATCTCTCAAAGCGCTAGGATATTGTTGTTGTTCTTATTCTTAGAATGAATAAATTGTCTGCTTCAGTATGTTTAATATTCAGTCTTGGTGCTTACCCCTGCAAATGTTATTTTGTAATTCTGGTATACTAAAAAGATTGGAAACATCTTGGAATTCCTTAATATGTAAAAAAAATATGGACACAGCAGGAACCTTTGCTTAATTCCCACTAATTGTCTATTGCAAGCCTCTTAGAAAGCTTGTAAATTAACTGCCTTTTTTAAAATTTAATGAGATAATTACATGTTCATAAAATGTTGTTTCAGATGTAGATGATGTCAGTAATGTTTATATAATTGCAAAATGAGCTGCACTAAATCAGCATGCACAATTAAGGGCTCTATCTTGATTGGACAAGACAGCAGTGTGGGACATTATCATTAAGGGCTTTCATGTGCTAAACACCTACTGTACTGTATTATCAGTATCTGAGCTGGGGTATGGATTTTACTGAACTTGTAATGTACAGTACATTTCAGTTGTTTAAATACAAAGATGGGCTTTGTTGCCTTTAAGTTCTGATTATGCAGTTTATTAACCACAAAGAAGCAGAGTTTTACATTGGATAAAAGCATTCTCTATTATTGCATTAGAAAATATTACATTTCATGTAAATGTAAAGATTGAAACTCATCAGTGTATTTCTACCTGGATTAAAATACAATTTATTGCTCCAGCCTGTAGTAGCTACAAGAGTATTTGGCATAGTTATTTTAGTCTTAATTGGTATTAGCTCATTACTATTTGTAATACCTGTGTTTTAACATTTTTGAAAAGGTTTTTTGATAGTGTATTGTCTGCTACTACCCTATACATGTCTACGTATCTTCTGCTTCTGAATTTTCATATTCCATTGGCATTCTGCTTGCAGCGATAATAGATTTAACGAGTAGTAAAACAATGAACCTGTTCTAGTTCAAATTAACATTTATTTGTTAGAATTGGGATTTTTTCAAACAAAATCTAGATTGGGCCTCTAGACACAAGTCTTAATTATATAATCTGCTTAAACGTCCAATGAGCACCACTTTAATTTAGCATATAGTATGTCAAAAACATCCAGTGTTTTTTATTCCATGTGAGTATCATCTGAAGCATGCGGCTATGAATTTCACAGAAAGTTTAAAAAGCACCTTGAATTGCAAGAGAAACTCTGAGATGTAATCCAGACTCCATGGATAAGAGTGTTCTATTTTTCCACTTGCAGTTATCCGTTCTGATATTTGTGTTTTTAGCATAAGTTCAAATTTATGTTTTTCTACGTTAGTGTCAGGAAAAATACGGTTGCTCACGGAATAATGAAATCTACTTGTCACTCTCTAGAGGAAGTAAATGTCATACTTTATGCACATCAACAAATTAACGTGAAAAAGAAAATATAACTGCTGCTGGTTGGCACCAATTGCTACAAGCACTTCCAGTGGGGCTTTATCACTGACACATCCAGGGACTCAATGTAAAGTAATTCAGTTCACATTGCAGTTTTACCAGCAATGCTGAACATTTTGTGTCCCCTCTGTTTTACAGGGTTATTCGAGCACATTGTAGTGGTGCTTCAAATTCCCTGACAGAAATGGCAAAGTCTGTGTATTGAATTTGCAATTCTTTTAAAAAAACTTTTGTGACCTGAATATATTCCTTGCATTATGGTTGTCACTTTAAAACTATAAGCTTGCGTTTTCTTAAGTCAGCATTAAATGATGGATGTCAAAACACAGGCAATGTATTATGCATATAGCATTACTGATTTAAGGTGTTTACTTGTCAGCTTGAAGGAATGTGAAATGTCAAGTCGTGTGAATTCATTCGCATGTCACTTGTAGTGTATTGCATGGTTCAGAATGGCACTGTTTCTGATAAAAGGTTTTCAGGTTCCACTTCACCACTTTTGTGGTAACAAAATGAACAACATATAAAATTTATACCTGCCGGCTGATGGAAGGCTATAAATGCTAAATACGCCTCAGCTGACCCTTCTGGGTAGAATATCCTTTTCCCTTTCTGCCTTGTTTAGAAGGTCTCAAGAATAATCTGAGATTCTTTGGGTTTTTTTTTTTCATTCTTTCTGGCCCCGAAAAGAATACACGCTGCAGTCCTTTGCATTAGTGGAGACACACCCTTTGAGATCTCTGTTCGTTTAAGTTCCTGACATTTTGGATTTCTGTTGGTGCCACCACCCAATTTCATTTCTGTTCTTTGGTTGTTTTTTTTCTCAAGGGTTCACCCCTCCTGGAATGGATCGGTCATCTCCAGACAACAGTCCAGTCCATGGCTTGGTCCGTCAAGCCTCTGTAACAACAGGGGCCAACATCCCCATAATTACTGAACTAGGTAAGATCATATCGGTGCTGGTAATACACTCTGTCGAATGAGCAAACTACTGTTGAGAGACAGTAACTGTTCTACATTTTCTGCCATTGCAGACTTAAACCCTTAATTTCTTCTACACACCAGAAACCTTATTTGAAATATGTATTTTATATCCAGAAGCGTATGATTTTTTTTCTGGATTAACCATCTGTGAAGTTTTGTAAGAAAAAAGCTGGACTGGCTTGTAAGGGAAGCGAAGTGATTATAGTACCACATCGCTGACATTTACAACATTAATGTACAATAGCAGGAGTGCTGCCTTGTCTAAAATCGCAGGGTAGCAAAATGGGTCCATTTATTAATAACAGTGAATCTGCCTGTATTCCCATGGTATCAGAACTCATGAAAGTTGCAGTTCTCAGTGGGTATTAAAGCACGCTAGAGACTTGCCACTATAAGATTTCCCCTAACCCTGTTAAAAGGCCATGCATAAAAACAGGTTCCACAATGGACACATTTTCTCTATTAATGGGATTTCACCCGGTTTTGCAAATGGTCCACACACAAAAAAGAAAGAACTGAATAACTAGCCATAGTGTATCAAATCTAATGTAATTTAAATGTCTTTTTAAACATTAATATCAAACATGCATTTGTAAATTATTACTAAGATACACAAGAGCTTTACATTGAATTTGCACAGCCAGTCTTTGAAATGAAATATTTCAGTAATAAAAAACAAAATAATCTCACACTGTTGTTCAGGAAAGTGAGCTATATGCACTCCGTTTTATGGTTTATCCTTTATACGGTATAACACATTGGGTGATTCTGAGTATCATATATTTTAGAACATTTTAAAGGAGTTAATAAAATTATTCAAAGAGGCAGAAAAAGTCTAGGCGGAAGGAAGGTTTAAGTTTCAGTGGATATTTAATTCAGAAAAAAAGGATAAAGTAGCTTAATGTCTTGAAATGTATTTAGTGATTTATTTAGTGCATAAAGTGAGGCGATTCAACAGCAGGCGCGTAGTTCACCCATTTGTGCAGTGCGTTTCAGACATGTGGAGGGCTGTGCTGTCAAGTGCTTTTCGTTTCGTTGCTCGTTGTCCTTTCTCAGTCTTCCATGCCTCTTTCTTGAATATGTTTCAATAACTGTTTCCCCCAACGCTGTTTTGCATCATTAGCTAAACCTGGCAAACTACTGCCGTTGGTTTCACTCAGTCAGGAAAAAAACAGTGGAACCAACATTCAAATGATAACTGAACTGGGTAAGCAGTGCCTTTGTCCTTTACCGCAGTGTCGTTCTTCCTCCCTCATCGGCTTCACTTGATTTATCTGGCTGCAATAGAGGGGCTGCTCCCATGACACCACTTTGAACACATTTATTCTTGGTTCTGGTTGAAATTGACTGTCTTGTTTTGGCCTTTTTTAATGATTTTTTTCAGAGAGCATCACTAGGCCTTTGATCACACTAGTCTGTCCTTGTGGCTGTTTCCATAGCATCTCCTCACAGTTCATTTCTTCGGCCCAGGCCCTTTTCATCAGCCTCTTGTCAATATGACTGACATTTCTTTTCACAGCTCACAGGAAGTCTGGGAAGAAATAAAATATCAAAAACAAAACTCGAGATCAAACCTTCCTTTAAGCTGTTTATTTTTTGCTAGACCTAATCTCCAAAGCATAGATTTTGAAGCTATGAAACAAAGGCGGCTTTAGTGATGCACTTTTCAAATAAAATGGGATTTCAGTGCTTTATCTGAAAATTATGTCCAGTGGTGCTGGAAAGCTCACTAGAAACAATGCCTTAGTAGAACATGGCACAATCTAAAGAAGGTTTAAAATGCTATTAATTTTAAAGCCGCAGACCTACAGTGTGTACAGGAATATATCTTTTGCATCTTGAACCAGTAATTGTTTCTGTGTAATACTATGTTGAAGCATGATACTGAACTGATTGTAAAGCTATTGAAACAGTCAGGCAGTGATACTGTAAAGTGCCTGTCCATTATAATTTTACATTTAATGTTTTGAATGTAAAAAAAACTCTCAGAAAACCGGATTTATAATGTATGTACAGAATGTTTAAATATACATGTTTAAACTACAAAAACAGATGGCATTTTCCTACTGAGTACTGTTAACTTAATGGTCTCATCACATAACATTTCTTAAATAGTTTTTCACTTTGCTCCAAACTCTATTTAAACAAGAAAGCTCTCTTATATTTCAAAAGACAGTCTTTTTCAGATACAAACTGAAATGTATATTTGAGTTGTGCGCATAGTGACACGTCAGTCAAATGTTCTTGCCTTGGATACGTACAGTTTCATGCTATGGAAGTGCATGGTCCTGTAAGTGCATGGATTCTGTGGATGTGACCTGTACTGAAAGTGATGGACTTTTGAAAACCAATCATGATTAAAGTGTTTTATTTATCTGTCTTCATACACTGTATGATCATAGGTAAAATTAATGGAGTAGGTGGGAAACAAATTGCTGACCTAAAACATTGTTCCATTTAGCAGTTTTTCTCTTAAATACCAATTTGTAACAGCTTCTGTATTCCAGTACTGATAAAAAAAATAGTTCCAAACCTTGCAACATGCAGGCAGAATTCATAGCTGCCTGTTTGCTGCAACTTATTGAATTTGGCCACTGACTCTTACGTGAATAATCATTTGCAAGTCGATACTAAGTGTGAAATTCTTGTGTATAATAAAGCACTTTGTTAATGATTACCGATCACTGATGCATCCAGCAGCCTTGTTGGTAATAGTTAGCTGTGTGTTGTCAGTGCTTCATGCAGCTGCAGGCATCACTAACTGTTTGTTCTTGTCTCCTCAGTGAATGACTCCAATGTTCAGTTCCTGGACCAAGACGATGATGACGATCCCGACACAGAGCTGTATTTGACACAGCCCTTCGCCTGTGGAACTGCGTTCGCTGTCAGCGTGCTAGACTCCCTAATGAGCGCGGTGAGTCCATGCCTTTGCATAAACATGCAACTCCTGTGGTGTAGACAGGGCTTCCCTTGTTCGCCTGTTTGATCACGCCGTTCCCCTTTAAAATTACCATGGGACTATTTGGTTTGATATTCAATAATTATGAAACAAGGTGGGTTTGTCTTTTAGTTCATGTCTTGGCTGAATTAATGTTTTTCTATGTTACTCGCAAAGGAATCATGACAGGTGACACCGAGTGCTTTGTTAAAAGTTCTACAAACCCATTGTAAAACATGCATAAGACAAAGCCACCATTTGAGTAATTTTCTCCTAATCAGGATATTGAAAAGGAGGGATTGACAAGCTCCTACATCGAAAGTCCTTGTTATACCACATAAAGTGCAATTATTTGCTACTAGATACATAAAACATGCACCGAGCTCAGTTTACATTAAGAAACTCAAGGCCCTCCATTTTGAAGTTGCACTGTAGCTTGTCTGTACTGAACTGTGGGTTTTTGCCATTTTATTGAGTCCTTCTCTGGCTCCTGAGAGGTTAAGCCATCCTTTATTTACAAGTGGTAAAAAATACATCCTAGCATTTGCACTGTTTGGCCAGAGTGTGCAGGACATGGTTATATAATTTACTAACAGAGAGGTATTTCTCTGGAGGGAAAAAAAGGTTTTTTCCCAGGTGGCTGAATCTCTCATAACCAGCTCCCTCCAGAGGGTATCCCTCACCTCCCCTTTAATTACCCCCACCTCTGCATTGTCTATAAAACAGGGCACCTCTGAGCAGTTGTTCTGGGAGGAGTAGGAGTCTTGTAGGGGAGTCCTTAATCACCTCCGTGTCTCATAAAGTGCTTGTATGCTACCAAGCACTTTATTCTCTCTCTGGTGCACGCTGTGTCTACAGCCAAGCAGACACTGCTAGGCCTGGTTATAATAATCCACTGAAACTCTGCTTTACCACAATAAAGGTAACTTTTCATGTTATTGTTTTTGGACATATACTGTAAATTATATTTACTACATTGCAGCATGCTATAATTCATTACTTGATACATAAAATAACAGAACCAGTTCTATATATTTTATTATTCTATATATGTTATTTCCTGTGGAAAACGTCAATGTACTGTACCTATTCCTTAACACAATAGACTATTAAAAATTAAAAAATGTCATATTAAACATATCTTTTAAAAAAGATGTGTTGTAATTTTTAACATATTAAATATTGATCAGCATAGCTCTAGCCACAATCCAGAAAAGTGTCTAATATCTGTTATCACAGACTATTACACATTAAAACAATTTACCCAGATATACTTAATGGTTTGATTCCCATTGGATTTTAAATTAAAGATCCACTAGTAAGGCAAAAGTTAGCAAATGAAAATGTCACATTGATCCGGCAGTACTGTATGCTGTAGTGTCATCAAAGGAAAGTTGTTGCCTAGACTCTTCTCATAAAATGTGTCATCAAATGGATTTTCAAGAGGCACATTAGATGTTTTAACAAGGTAAGTACTGAATGAAGTTCCATTTAATGACACACTTGAAAAATCAGCTGGACCTGAAGGTGCAAATGCATTTTTTGCTTATTTTATTTTCCTAGTTATTAAAATAGTGGAAGGGGAAGAAGATAAAAAAAATTAGACCACTGAAATCCCTCATGGATATGATGACTTAATTTGGCTACCTTTCAGTTTGAGTGAGGTTAGAACAAAGGCATTCAAGAGTATTTCATGGTGGACAAAGGTAATGCTTGCTAATAGACAGCGCTCATCCATCATCCTACTCGACAGCACTGTCAGCCTCCCAGAGAGCTGTCAGAACTCAGTAGGAGCAATAAGTGACACAATAAAGATTGTGTACCTTTAAAAGAAGTAGTTTTAAAGTTATGTTGTCCCATTCCGAAACTCTGATACAAGCAAGCCGAAACACCTTAATGAAACTGTTTTTTAAAAATAAAGAAGAAAAGCAGTTGGGAGTGTTATGCAAGATTGATTAAACTTTCAATGCAAAGAATTGCAAAGACTGCCTGCTCTTTTCTGCAGGTCCTTTATAGCTAGCCACTTCAGCAGAGACTGACAAAGTTGTCACTGGTGTATTTTCAGCTTAGTCTTTCAATTACTTCCTGGCCCCTTCGTACAGTCAGAGACTTTGAAATTGATTATAGGGAGAGGGGCTAGGTGGCACCACTGTATTAATTATTCCACGTAACACATAACAGAGCACCTCTGTCTACTAATATGAAATGCTGTAGTTAGACAAGGGAAATTCCAGCTCACTGAATATGTCTCAAGTGCTTTGTGTAGGTTGGCATTTTTAGTATTTTAAACTTTTTGAAATCACTCGTTAATACATTTGTGTCAGATATTTGGCATTGAAAATTCAATTCAGTGTTTTTATTTGGCTTCCTACAATACCTAAGCCCCTCATTAGTGGTGAGTATCCCTGCCTGACATGCAGGGTTCAGTTCCTCAAAGGGGAGATGGGTGTTGTTTTACCAAATTGGCTAGACAGAGTCAAAGGACAATGTCTCTTCTCGAACCCTTCTTACAAATTATGTATAAGATAACATATATGTTTTTTCTTGAATTTTTAAAAGCGAACCAAATGAAAAAGGAAATCTGTCCAAACTGAAGACATACAGGGGTAGCTACTGGACAATAAATTCCTTTAAAGCTTTTGAAACACGTTGTGCTTTTAAGTTGGAATACAAAGATTTTTTATTACCTTTGTAGATATGGCTTATGCCTTGTTGTAAAAGTTATTAGAAAATAACTGCGAAAAAGGCAGCTTAAATTGAGCCTGTTTTTTTACAAAAAAGATGTCTCTCAACCTGTCTGATGTGTGAGAAATATGTTGGAACACCTATTACAGGACTGCCATTAATCTTTCTTAAAATCTTTATCTGGTCGTAAGGACAAAATAATAATTACGCACTGAATCGGTGGTTTAAAGGGGTACTTGTGATGCCTAATGGGATAGAAGCAAACGAAATAATTGGAGTCTGCTGTCTTTTCACTCTGCAAGTAAACCTATTTGAAGAGACAGCCCCGGAGTTTAAATAACCGAACTCTAGATAACTTGCAATTTGAATGTCTTCAGTTGTGACTTTAATGGCGCTTCTTTAAAGATTTTTCTTTTATCTCTGCAGACATACTTCAATGATAATATCCTCACGTTGATACGGACGTTAGTAACAGGGGGAGCTACTCCTGAGCTGGAGGCCCTTCTGGCGGAAGAGAATGCCCTGCGAGGTGGCTATAGCACTCCACAGACGCTTGCGAACAGGGACAGGTGTCGGGTTGCACAGCTAGCACTGTACGACGGTCCCTTTGCCGACTTGGGGGTAAGTGAACATTTAAAAAGAGTCGACGCGTCACGCGAGATCACAGCAGCTGTTGTTGTTGTTGTTGTTGTTTTTTTTTAAGGTTATTTCTGTTACAATAAGAAAAATGGAGACCAGTAGATCAGTCACTTGTAAGAAATAAGTGTTTCTTTTTTTAAAAAAAAGTGTTGTTTGGCTTTTTTTAATGATTACACTGTTAAAAATAGTACTTGCTTTTTTTTAAGAATATGCCATTTATTTAACAGAGCTCTAGATTAATTATCTTTAAGGCCTAAAGAGAAATTTAATTTAACTGCAAAGGAAAGTGTGCTTCAGCACACTTAAGAACTAAATTGGTATTTTCATTTAAATAAATCTCCTGATCAACACTGTTCCAGGGGTTTAGAAATATGTAATTTTAGGGTAACGCAAACACCTAAATGTATCTCCAGGACCAGGGTAGGTCACCCCTAGTATACTTTGTAGTATCTTTTGTTCGAATGTTATTTATTACATTTATTCTAATGTTCGAATATAAAACATCTTTTTAAGGTATGCCCAGCTAGATTAATGCTCTCAAAATAAACCAAAAGACCCAAATTTCCCAAAGATAATTGTCTAATCTAAACTTAAAAAAAGCAGAAGAGTTTTGAAAAGCATATTAAAAACATGGCAAAAATGTTGTCTGCAATGAATTGTGTCCTAATAAGTATTACTCTTAGTGAAATTTTACAAATATTCAGTATTTATATAATTATAATATAATTATAATATGCTTTGTGTTCCACAGGATGGTGGCTGCTATGGTGACCTGTTTTGTAAAGCATTGAAAACATATAATATGTTGTGCTTTGGAATTTATCGATTAAGAGATGCACATCTCAGTACACCGAGTCAGTGTACAAAACGGTAAGTCAAACCACCCGCAAATTAACGCAACATATGAGACATATTTATGAGATTTTAAATTAAAGCTACTATATAGTTTCAACACCAGAAACACAGTAATCATTTCAAAGGCTTTGGTGCTGAAAAACCTGTATTAAAAAGGCTCCAAGTTGTTTAAATAGCAGAAAGTCCAAGCCAGACATCAGACTTCAAACAAATTTGTGTTTTCATTTTGACTGTAAAACAAATAGGCTGCAACTATTTTGGACTCTAGTTTTATAACCAGAAGTTATAAGGAAAACATGTTGGCAGACAATCACAAGCATTATTGCTGCATCTATATTTTATCTTTATTTTGTTATTCTGGTGTATCTCCTTGCAATGCACGTGAGAATGAAGGTTTTGTTCAAAGATAAGGCTGTGAAAAAAGATGCTACATGTGGTTCACGCAGCAAGTTGGACAACACTAGAAAAACACTTTGCTGGGACAACCTTACACGAAACAAAAGGAGGTCTTGTTTTCCCCTGAAGGTCAGAAGCTTTAGTGCTTATTTAATAGGAGAATTCCTTGACAGTGGCGATTATGATAATGTCAGACTTTCCATCACGTTATTATTTATAAAATCACGGCTGCCCTGGAAAGGCGAGAGAAAAACAACCAGACAGATTCAAAGACAGGGAATGTCCTTCTCAGACAAGCTAAAAGAACTATAAGGGGACTTGGTTCAAGTTTGTAAAATATGCAGAGACTTTGACAAAAGGTAACCTACTAATCTTCTTCAGAACAAACAGTGAAACATGAGCCCAGGGTGAAAAAAAAATTGAAATGTGGAAAGCATTAAAAACAGAGAACTTTGTTCATTATACAAAGTGTTTTGGAGGGTATGGCACAAGTTACCCAGCCATGTTATTAAAGCTAATACCTATGCTTTCAATTGCTAATAGCAACGAATGCCAAAGGGCCATCTCCTCTCATTCATGACCTTTTTTACTTTCTTTTGATTTTGTTATGGGTATTTTTAGTAAAACTTATGGTCAAGACACAGACAATAAAGAATTCCCAGACAAGTCCCAGGAATGTAAATGTAAATTCAGTTTTAATAACAACGGAGCAAAAGGTTTCACGTCACCTGTTGTCACCATGTAAAATATGCATTTACTAAGTTACAATATTCTGTGATTCTGGAATGGCAGGTTGTACTGTACATCAGCAGGCTGTCACTGTTGATTGAGCATCTGCCATCTCACAAAACATCTGTGAGGTGAAAGCGATCTCTTGCACTGTTAATGGGAATTTATTTGGAAAGCAATCTTTAGAACCAAATCAAAATTCCACAATGTCAGGGCACTTCAGAAACTTGACTTTTGCCAACATATTGCCATCACGCATGGCAATAGACTCAAATACACTTATCGCTGAAAGTTCAAGATGTTCTTCCTGACTGGAATCAAACACACACAGCAGGCTTTAAAAAAAAAAAAAAACTGGTAGCAGGTTGACAAAGATATTCAGAGCCACTCATGTAGGTTACAGTTTTATTGCTGTTTTCACAAAGGGCTTTGAGTTGGAAAGATCAGGCAAGTCCTTGTGCCACCTCACCTGATCTGATTCCTGGCATTTCATAAGCTGATGGGTTTATTTAAAATGATCACGTCTTCTAAAGATGAACTACGGCTTCGATCACATTCCTCCCCAAGACATCCCACTAAATCCGCCAGGTGGATGGAATGAAAGAGGACGGCAGCTCCACTGGGATTACTGGTGAAGGAAAAAATGCAGGCACTTCTCCCTTTTCCTGTAACGTTTGACAAAACCGCATTTTGCAAGCAGTGAATGCATGTTCTACGGCAAAGACAAGTTTATTGATGTTTGCAGATGCTTTTCTCCCCATCTCGCTCACTTAGCTGAGAAGGTGTTCAGCACATGCGATGTGCACAGTGTTCAGAATAGCGATTTGAGACTTGTGAGGTACTGTAGAACGGAGACAGGATATGATATCTGCAGGAAGGAATTTCATGCCTCAGAACTACAGTGTGGTTCAAAGTTTGCAGTCTTAGTGGTTTTCAAGAACCTTTTCGAATTTTCATAGCAGGGTTGCCCAGGCCTTGTAGTGGAGTGTTTGCAGCACAGAAAGCAGCACCTATGACACATGATTTTTTGGACTTTTTGGTAACTCGCTCAGCATGTTTTCCAGTTTTGGTTTCTCACAACAGCTGTTTCAAGCAGTCTATAGGAACATTACATGCTGTACAAAACATCAATACTCCACTTCCATGAAATGATTCCTTTGGGTATTTCTCTCTCTTCCATTCTCACTACCTTCAGACACGCTCCTCACGCTTGACTAATGAATAGTAGTTTTGCCATACTCCTACAGCAGATATTATGAAAATTAGTTTTTCCTCTTAAATCAAATGCTTTTATTTTCAAAGACATTGCAGACCTCATAAATAATTTGATTTCATGATGGAATTGTAGCCTCAGTATAAGGACCATCGGAACCTAGGTGCAGGGTGGAGGATTGCTGTTTGCAACTCAGTGAATTTCTAAATTCATTGTTACTGTGTGGTCAGCATGAGAATGGATGGTAACAGTTTGATTCTGCTTGAAGCACAGGGCATATAAATCCCAAGAGTGAGTAATTCAAAAGCTAAAACATGGTATTTTAAATGGTTCAACAGCTCAATCAGGAAAGACAGGACTAGATAAAATAACAGGATCCAGTTCAAGAAAAGAGGTACAATGGACTGCAAGCACAAGTAAAAAGGATGTTAGGCAAAGAGATCTTAAAAGGAATATTGAAATGGATGCTAAAACAATAAGCACTTATTTCAGACCTAAAACAGCATTAAAACGTTATGGTAAAGTAAACTATATCATCCTAGACAAACCTAGACATGATTGATGTTCTAAAGAAGTATTTCTTACTGATGCTCACTAAGTCAACGACATGCCTCTGGCTACGCAAGGACACAATTCTGTATTAAATAGTGTGAGGCAGAAGTGGTTCAGGTACTAGGAGCACTCAAGATTAAAATACCCCAGGGCCTGATGGTAACTTACCAATTATATTCAAACAAGATGTTATTCACAAACCAGGGACACCACTCTTCCAGCACTCGCTCAAGACAGGGGTAGAACTCAGGGAGTGGAGAATTGCTAATGTGCCCATCTATAAGAAGAGTGACAAAACTCAACCAAGTAAATATACACGAATAACTCGGACTTCTACTACATGTGAGGTTAACAAAAAAAAATTATCACAACTAAATTAGAAGAAGTCATATACTACAGAGTAGTCAGGATGCACAAAGAAAAGTAATTATTAAATTACAGATGGCACAAACCACCTTACAGAGTACAGTGTGGGGTTTAATGGAATGTCCTACAGTGGCAGGCTGAAGGAACTTAACTTTTTCTAGTCTTGAACAGAGATTACAAAGGGACCTGAAATACAGTGTGTATTCAGAATCCTCCAAGGTATTGGCAGAGTCAACCTAGCAGACGTCTTCAGACTGAACAGTGAAGCAAGATCAGAGGTATAGTTAGGAAATGACCTACACTGACAGGCTGAAGGAACTGAACCTCTTTATTCTTTTGAGACCGAAGACCTTGAGGGGACTTCATTCAAGTATTCGAAATCCTCAAGGGCATTAATAAACTCCATCTTGCTGACTTATTCAGAATGGACGAGAGGACACAAGTAAAAACTACATATTTAAGACATTTAAAAAAGATACACTTTGAAAATGTTAAGTGAAAGTTGCTGTGGTACTAAATAATGTGCTTAATCAAAACTAAACTTAAAACACTTTTGACAAAATGTTCCATTAGGTAAATTGTATTTTTTTTCTTGCCACTACTGGTAGCTCTGAAAAACATTTACAACAAAAATCGTAAATCTCTATGTCCAGTTTCAGTAAGGATGTATCTACAATGGATGTCCTGTACATTAATTTCATTGCACAAAAGATGCAAATGAACTGCTTTGCAGTTTATGATGTATCCGAGGAGAGGGATTCAGGAATTGAAATATTTTAACATTTTGTATCATGCTCATTATTAGAAGTAGTAGGACTGCTGTTCACTGGTTAATTGCACAGATACTCAATATTTTGATTCTCCACACTGTTTAAACATTTTTTCCCAGTTTTCTAATCTATGATCCTTTTATATTTCTTGCTATTCATTAGTAAAGAACCAGGTCTCACTGATGTAAGAGACCTGGTTACACTGAGTAAGATGTGTCATTTCTAGTTAAAATCTGAGAATTTAACTGAAATTCTAAAATTTCAAATCTGCTTTCTTTTTGCTTTCATTATCCAGTTCATATTCTAAGTACCATAATCTTAAAAACGGTAGGGGTACCTGTTTTTATTTGCCACTGTAAGCAAGAAAACCTCACAAATTATATAAAACACATTCTAACGGACAGTTTTGTTAAAAGAACATGGTTCCCCACTTTGTACATCATAGCTTTTTCTATTTTTCCCATATCATAAATATTAAATGTCCTAAGCAAAGAGAAAAGAGCTTACTCCATTTTTCACTGACATTCAGTGTCAGCTAATAGCTTTATAACCTCTACTCCCCTATTTGTGAAGTACGAATAGGGGAATAATGCAGCCGATAAAATGTAGGCTCACAAAGCTCTCAACTGCCATGATCAGGATGCAGAGAGTAACAGCAGTGTTATAGAAAAGACCCTTTGCCACCTTACCAGGGAACTGAGTAAATCCTAACGTGTCCTGTTTTCTGGTCTCCTTGCAGATATGTTATCACAAACCCCCCTTACGAGTTCGAGCTGGTCCCCACGGATCTCATCTTCTGTCTGATGCAGTTCGACCACAACGCGGGCCAGTCCCGGACCAGCTTGTCCCACTCCTCCCATTCCTCGCACTCTTCCAGCAAGAAGAGCTCCTCCGTTCACTCAATCCCCGCCACCAACAGGCAGAACCGCAGCAAGGCCAGGGACTCGCGGGAGAGGCAGAAGTATGTGCACGAGTAAAGACTTTGACATGTGTCCCTCTGTGTGTGTGACACTTTTTGTGACTCCTGTTGTCCTTTGGATTGCTTCGTTACAAGAAATTCATGCTGTGTGTGTTCTGGTACTTCGTTTGTGGGTTTTTTCATGGCTGTTTGCATGTTATCATCATTCCGATCGGAACATCACATGGAGCCTCTCCACTGCCATCATCATCGTCATCAACATCATCATCCTTTCAGCACAACAGCATATTGATATGCTACCATATTGATAGGTCAAATGATAGCAACTGCATGGGAAAAAAAAGAGTAAGGATTCAGCACTCTGTACTCACAAAGAGCTTTCCTTCTGTATAACCTGTAATGCGAAATTTTTACCTGCACATCTGTTCGGAGCAATCAAGTTATTGGGTGTGAAGGTTTTTTCACATCTGGTTAGACCAGATGTTATACGGCATAGTTATGGTGTTTGTTAAATAAGCATTTGCAGTTATATATTGGATTTACTTAGCTTATAGTGTTTCATTTTGCAGTCACAATAACCACAGTTTATGAAAAATCATGTCAGTATAAATTGTTCGTACTTAAGCGCACATACCGACTACATATTTGTCTGAACCAGTTATATGTCAGTAATGTTTTAGTGCTTGTAAGAATGCCTTTGTTTTCAATTTTATTAGAATAATACCAGAGAAATTTAGTTATATCAAAACAGAGTTATTTTTTTATCTAAAAATAAAAGCTAAATACATTTAACAGGTAGTGCCAGTGTTCTAGAGACCATATCAAAGACAAGTAAATAAGTCTTAAAATTGTTATTAATTATTTTACATAACTTGTCTGAAGAGTGTCTGTCATATTTCTGTTAATCACCATGAGCCTGACCACAAGATACTTGTGTATCTTTTACATGACAATAATGACTTGTAAACGCCAGGCACTTTTGATCAATTACACTACTTTTCAAAGAAAAGTGTGAACATGATGCATAACATTTAGTACTAAAATGAAAGATATGCCTTTAATTATTTTTTTACTACTATTGTTGACAAATCATTAAGATATTATTCCTGACAGATTTCCAGATTCATGTTGAATTACAGTAACTTTCATTTCACTTTTGTGTTTTAGAAAACCTAATTTTGGTACTCCCAGTAATCTACGTATATCTGATTTTTCTTAGAAAATCAGAAAGAAGATTTTTCTTCTTTTAAGCAACAGTTTGCCATAATTCTTTGAGATTACTTGTATACTGTAACTGCAACGGTAACACTAGTGGCATTATGCTACTCAGCTTTTGCTAAGAGGCCAAACTGGAACTGGAACTTCTTCATTCAAGCAGACATGCTGTGCATGTGGCTCTGGTAGCTTGGGATGTGTTATTTGGTATGTGCTTGAAGGCAGATTGAAAGCGGATTAGAAATGATCTGTGCTTGAATTGGGCATAACAGTGGTATATTAGTAAATACTACTGTTTCATGGTACCAGGTCCCTGGGTTCGATTCCAGCTTGGGGTGCCTTCTGGGTGGAGCGTGCATGTTCTGCCTGTGTTCACTTGGGTTTCACTGGCTGCTCCAAGCAGTCCAGTTCTGAGGGTGGTTTTCAAGGAGAATGAATACTTGGGAGTTTGTTCCTTGTGCACGCAGTACTGGCTGTGGGTAACAGAGAGATAGACCCCAAGCCTTTGATGGGCCGAATGGCCTCCTTGCTTTTGTGACCGTTCTGGAGTTCTGATGAAGAGTAATGGCTCTGTTGAATCATTAGATGTGTCCAGAAATGTAATCCTCTACCTGAAAAACAGATGGCAATGTCAGGAAACAGAGAATAAGTGTACAACTGGTGAAGAGTTCCAATCTCTTCGGGAATGTCGGTGTTCAACTGAATACTGTAGGCAAGAATCTCTGAATACTGTACAATTCATAAGGAGGCTTCAGTGTGACAAGAGCTAAAACTCCTGCACAGATGGTTGTCATACAGGTTCATGAGGCTGGCTGGAGCATATTTTAGGATAGTAATATATTGAGTATAATTTGAAGACCAGAAACACCTTAAACAGTTCAGCTATTCCAGGAACATGTGAGGTGAGTTTAGGTTCATGTCAGGTAAACTACCAGTGAACAGAGGGAAGAAAGGGCAGGGTCTTGAACTCACATTTTCACGCAGGACTATGGAACAGAGTCTTTACTGCTGTTTGACACAGAATCAGGACGCTGTCTTCACATATTGAATAGAAAGCACTAGAGGGAATGAGCTACACATCGACATCTTCTTGCCTGAATCATGTCGAGTGTATTTTTCATGCATACTGCAAGGTGAAGCACCAGTACTCTGCAGGATCTCCTAAACCCCCTTATCCAAGAACAGGCTCAGCTCCCACATCCCTCTGTTTTGGATGAGATGCTGATTATGTGCAAGGAAATGGAAAATATTTCTTTTCCAAGAGTGATTTTTTTACAAAACTTTGTGCGGTATTTGACTTCAGCTTTTAATGAACACATTGTCATCCCTTATACGGTACGGAATTGATCTCCTTGCATTTAAATTCTAAGGCCTAGCAAAAGTGGAATAGCATATTTATCTTAATTTGAATAATAATAATATAGACAACATGCTGTGTGACAGACAACAATGGCGTAAAATGTAGTCCTCAGGCTACAAACACATTTAATCATCATCTTTTACAAGCATGCACCCATAAATCGCATTTTATATGAATGTATTACCTTTGAACATACTGAAATTATTTGACTTTTTAAGATTTCTTTAACTGTTTGTAAATATATTTTATATTTGGCAAATGTCAGAAATTTTGCCACAGCTCAGAAATTACCCAAAAGTCAGTAAACTGATGTTTACTGCTCTCTCTCTCTCAAGAATAAAATTCTGACATACTTGTTTGGGTGATCTGTCACAGTATGAATGGTTTCCTTTAAGGGGCCTTATTGGTACTGTATGTGTACATGTTTGTAAAAGCAAACCTTATTCCATTCTTTTTTTCTATTTTATTTCCTATATACTGCTGCAAATAATTTCAGTATTTACAAGGTTAACTGCAATTTTATTTGATATAAAAGTTGCATTTACCTGGAAACAATGTGCAATGCTATGGGTTTTAAACCACAATGCAAAAGGACTACAATAAAAGTATACTCATATCACACTAAACACATTGTTTTATTCTTACGACTTGCAAAATGCTGAGCATGAAAGGTGTGTTTGCTTGATCTGTTTATATTTCTTATTGCATATATGTATATATAAATTATATATATATGAATATACTTTTATGGAAATTTGTAGCATAATTAGAATTATGATTACAGCCTAGTTTTAGCATGGATTTGACATGGTTGCTAAGACCTGCACCGCATTTTTCCTGACATGACCAAAAACCCATTTTCAAATAAACTCTCTACAGAAACATTACTAGTTCATCTTTAACAGCTATTGTACAATATGGATAAGCTATGTTGTATTATTGTGCTTATATACATATACTGTATACTGGTAGTCACAATTATGGGGACACCTGTAAATCTCAAAAGACTGAATTTCACATAACTAAACTTTAGTGAAGATACTACTTTGAGCTAAGATGCAATTGCAAATATGTTTTACTGGTGCTTTAGTTCAATCACTGTAATGTCACTCTCATTCAGAAGGTTAAAGTCAGCTTTCAGAAAATCATGAAATTAGTTCAGATAATACTGTGAAACCTGGAACTGACCATGTGATTTTGCTTGAAAAAGTTCAGAGGACATGTTAATCTCCTTTCCAAGTTTAATGTTTAGTTACCTTATAGTTATAATTACCTTGACCGGAGATACCTTCTGTCAAAGATACAGCAAGAAAGGAGGTTATTTTTGGTATAATGGTGTGGAGACCACAATCAACAGATACAAATGGTATCTAGCAAAGAAAACCAAAGGCAACATTTGTGTGTGTTAGCTCTCAAAAGACGTAATTTCAATGTACCATTGTGAAAGCAAGGAGTACACCTGGTGTGGACCTTGCACAGTAACAGGACTTTATTTGAACAAGGACGGTTTGTTTTTGTGACGAGAACAGCTCTCCCGGACACTCACGGGCTCCGAGCATGCACAGCGCCATTTTGGGCAGTGGATGACTCTGCCACTGTAGCCACGTTCCGCGGCACAGTTGAGACGGGAGTGGGGGGTGGAGATTGTTGCTCCAACTGGAATAGTGAAAGATATTCATTCTGATGAGGAAGGCTATTCAATCTACAGCTGAAGTATAAAAAGCACCTGGAAGTGTCTGAGATCTAGAGCTGATGGAAGGAGGGGCTCCATGCTCAGCTCTCCAGAGGGCTTTTCAGAAATAACATTTCCAAACTATCTGCGCTGTGACTTCTTTTGTCTCTACAATGCCCTTTCAAAAACCATATGGTTGCAATTCAAAAACCAAAGCCCAAACACTGTTCAGCAGGGGCTTATAATGTTTGATCAAGAACAACTGAGAGTAGCCTTTTAGATCACGTTAAAAAAAAATAATGATAAAACTTCTCGACTTCCACAGGACACAGCATGCCAAAAGCACCGAAACAATCAGCATGTGGTGCAGGGCCCATGGTAAAAAAAAAAACTTAAAATGAAGGCCATCCGCTTTAATGGTACAATAGAAAGTACAACAGAAAAAAGGTATACATGTAATGAAACAATTACTCATCTGCAGTCATGGGGTAAAGCAGAGTGAGAAATGAAGGCTGCAGTCAGCATGAATATACTCCTGATGTTAGTTAGAACTGAGTGGTCAGACTGAGGAAAGTTAAGTGATCTTATGTGACAGAATGGCAAAAATAGCCTCAGCTGACGACAAGATATTGTGTCATGAGAAACTAATGATAATTTGCTTTGCATCTTCATTTGATGTAATCACTCCATTTTCTTTGTGAGTTTATATTATAGTAAGTTCATCCTTTGTCACACTACAGTAAAATTTGCTTGTGTCTCCATAACTGTGATTGCCAGTAAATATATAATATAAATACATGTACACACTGAAAAATTCCTAATTGGTAGTTTATAAAGACATCAGATTTTGTAATAGAGATTTAGAGGCCATGAATACCTTTGCTTAACATACAATGAAAAAAATTGCAAAGAATTACTTTTTATGACCTTTTTAATGATATATAACATGCTTGGGGGTCAGCTAATTTTTCTGGAATTCAACAGTTAAAACTTCCAAACTACCAATATGAAAATTACACTTCAAATGTCTAAAAATCCAAGGCATGTGACTTAGACCAACCTGACATTCCTTAGAAGTGAACTGCTTTCAGTTCCTTCGATCTGTTTTACTGAACAGTTCTTAATTCAGTTTTATTTAATGAAATATCAAGTTAATTCTGTTCCTGTAGCTGAAGGGGGGCTGAAGATAGAGGTGTGCAGTTATTTAAGTCAGTATTGCTCATTCCAGTTAAGGGATAGTGACAGGAGCCACAGTGCTCAAAAATACCAGCCAGCCTGTGACTAGCATCACTGGAACATCTCTCCATTGGACTGATTGCAATGCTGTTATCTGAACTGAATCTTAGCACTCTGAACCTAATAATGGCTACGTTATGAACCTTTTTCTTTCCACTTGAAATCTGATCAAAATATTCAAATTTTAAATAACTTTGTAGCATATAAGGTGACGACATTCAAAACATTTGCTTTCAGTGAGCATAATTGTACTTTGGCCTACATTAAACATCTTTTTTTCATAAATATTCATTTTTACAAGAAAAAGAGGTATTTAGCATTCAATTTATGATAGAAATCAGTGCTACTTATGTGTGTTCAAGTCAGGTATGGCATGTAAATCTATTTCCCAAATTGTTTTAAAACTGCAGTACAGGTTTTGAAAAAGTTATTCATATTAAAAGTACTTGACTTCTCAATTCTGTATGGAGGCACCACCTAGAGATTTCAACCACTGTTTCACAAGCCTCAGGAATAATTGTAGAAACAGATGCATTGTTACCGCAGACACATTCAGATAAGGAGTGCAGCAAGGGAAATGGTCATGCCAGTGAATGTGTTTCAGATATGTAACCTGTTTTCAAATACTGTAAAACTTACTAGGATTACTTCTTTTTCTAAAGTGCAACAAGGATGAATAGAATGGGCCAAGGTATGAAAGTTAATGATTCTGCATGATATAGCAACTGCCATGGGTTTCAGTCATAACTTTGTCCTTGTGGAGAATTGTAAAGTTATGAGAAGGGAGACGGATTTAAAAACAAATCATGCCTTAGTTTATTTTTATTTATTTTTTTGCTTTCTAAACGAAAGCAAAGTGGCTGCTGCTGTTGCCCAGTCAGTTAAGTCCTGTCTCAACCCACCCTGGCGCTGCATGCGGTTGACTGCTGGGTATAATTCTTCCTCTAGAACTCATGGCTTCTTTCTCTACTCCCCCCCTTTTTTTACAAAAAAATCATTAGTGATCCTTAAATTTAACATTTTTAGCCGTCCGTACATTCTCAGCTTTTCATTTCCTTTCATGCTTTTTTTTTAACTAAAGACGATTGCAGTGTGTGAAGTGTGTTGTGTGATTGCACGCGTTTGTGTTAAAGTGGAATTTTGAGAGTTTAGAGTACTGTTGTAAAATACATACAGCTCTTAATTTAGCTAGTTAACAGATTTCTCAAATGCATTCCAAAGAAACAGATTTCTACTTTGAAAATAGTTTTTTTTTATAAAATCCAAGAACCTGATCATACACAAAATAGTACAAAATGTTTTTTCTGCAAAAGAAAAAATTATACAGTATAAATATATATTTCACATTGAAAACTTAGTTCCACGCAGTCATCTCCAGACCAAGGCTGAGGCGTGTGGAAAAGGGAACATGCAGGTTCCAATACCACGGCCTGGAAGCAGGAGCACGTGGCAGACACCTAGGTCCAGTGGGGGCATCGCTGTGAACGCACAGCTACCCCACTGCGACAAGACTCTGCTCACACAGCCTGTCTGGCACACCGAGGGTGCACACCAGCCTGCCTCGCATGCTTAAGACAAATAAAATGATAATTTTGAGACGGACAATAAGCCATAGCTGAAATTTCTAACTGAATAAGCTACTAATCCCAAATGCTTGTAAATTCCTCGCTTTGGGGGCAAAAAAACATATATATGAAATCTTCCACAAGGAAACGGCCCTAAGCAATATTTTTACTCAATGGTATCTATTCTAGGATTCTCTGTGGTCTATAACATTAAGTACACAAAGTGTTTGGATCTTATATTTAAGTGTCATGTTATTTCTTACTTTTTTCCATGCTAAATTGTACTCTTTTAAACAAATCACTTTAAGAAAATAGGAATAGTTCTCTTTTAAAATTTTAAGTACGTTATTAACCTATTCCTTGGTAACAACACAAACTGAAAACACAACAAATTATGAAGTTTGCACATAAAGTACACGACATACCTGTTGCTCCTAGAACCATTTCGGAAGGCACACAACTAGAAACGTTGCATTTCAAATATAGGTCAGTATGGAAGTATTCAAGACTGATGCACATGTTTTCCCTCCCTGTCTTTTTGTTGTATCACTTTACTGTTTCACAGAAAAGAAATGGTTTACAGATGAACCTGAAAATGCCTATCCGAGGAACATTCAAATCAAGCCCATGAGCACGCACATGGTCAATCAAGTTAATCAATATAAATCTACAAGCAGCCTGATTCCACCAATCAGAGAAGTTGAAGATGAATGCTGAGGTGGAAAGCTGGGACATTCTCTTGGAAAGATGGTAGTGATGAGATGCAGCATTGTTCCTACCTTATTTGTTGTACATCTGACCAAGGATTGAGGAGTTAACAGTTGACCAGAAACTAGAGGGGACCCTCTTATCTGTAAACCTTTAATGTTACTTCCATGCTTTTGGACAATGTTTTATTTATAAATATATATATATAAAATATAAATATATATAAAGACAATCAAATAAGCATTGTACAGCCCCTAGCACTTTTAAAATTATTTTTGTCATTAGTAGACAGAAAAATGAAATTTACTTCCACTAATGTTTTGCAATAGTACACCTTTCATGTGGCCAGACTCCATGTTTCCCTATTTGTTGGAGAATGAGGGTCACTAAAGCAAGAATAACAATGAAAGTTTCCAAAGAATGCCACAATTTACATGTTAATTAAATGCTTTTTTGTTTAATATTGCAAATCCCATTTCTACTTCTTTTGACTATTTGCACTAAATAAAATCATTTTTTTAACTAAATACAAACAAGCAGATGTGCCCTGAAACAGTGAAGTCCTGGTGAAAGAGTCAGCATCTCCTCATTAGAGGGTAGGGGAGACCCAGAGTAAGGATTATATAGTTGTGCTTTATTGGTAAGGTAGTAAACTAGAGGACTGCATATAATCTGATAGGCATATACTGCCAACCCCTGGTATAATAATCTGTATACATGCATTCCCAGATTTTACAAAAATAAACATAAATTGGTAACAATTTTTGATTAGAAATGTCAATCTATTGATTGAATCACAGCTAGAGAGAAGTGATCAATACCAGACCTGTCCTCTCAATGCCTGGGTGTGAACTGCACTATATGCAGTATAGATTTGAATTCTCTTTCAGTCAACATGTGGCTTCTTGTCAAGGTAGGACTCCACATCTGGCCCATGCACAAATGTCCTTTGTATTGGCGATTCAAGTGTAGTACCACACCCTGTATATTTCCATCTCAGTTGTGTGTGGGTTTGGAAAACATTTTCGTACAACCCTAACCCCTCCAGTGTGCAGGACACCAATGCATTTCACTACTTTGACATGAGAGCCTCAAGCTCATCTGCAGTTCAATCTCCTTGGAAATAAAGAGTTTTCCTGTTTATAGTTTTAGCTCTCACCCAGGCATGCAGGACAATCCAGACAGACAACAGGTCTATCTAGGTCTAGACTGGCAATATAGGATCTAATAAACACTGGCTGTTGGAAACAATTTTCTAGCTAAATACCCAATATGGTTGAACTGTTCAAACTAAAACTTAAATCTTAAGAAGAGAACTGTAAAAATGAGAAGCAGCCATTAAGTAAACATGGAGCATATGATGCAATTAAATGTCAAGAGTTGAGAATGAAAAAAACGCCATACTAAAGAATGCCAGAAATCTTTAAGAGACTGCTGTTTCCAAGGGATACAAATAAATGTGCCACGTATTGCTTTCAGTGGGCATCTATGGGTCTTTCCTTGGCCATAACCACTGCTTGGTACAGTGTTGGCATGGAGGCAGTTAGCACTTGGATGTTCTTCATGACCAATTATGATGCCATAGCCTACATGGGCAAATGTACCTGCCTGCTAGCTATTCCAGAAGCAGTACAACCATATTTGGAGAACTAGAACCAATTGTCATGATAAGTACCAGGGAATGCAAGGTGCAGATTATTTTGCTAGAATCTGGTGTTTTGCCACATATGCTTTCCCAGGTTAATACAATTCATGCAGGTCACCCTCTCGGTAGCAGAGTCCTGATGTCAAGAATGCGGTATACGGTTGAAGTGTTCAGATGTTCATCCGAATACAAACGTTAGGAATTGTTTGGAAAGTTTTTACATGTCTGTCCTTATTTTATATCCATATCACCACAGATTTCAATTTTGTATTTCTTTTTGTTTTCATAAGATCTCTTAAACTTACAGGCTACCAAAAGAAGTTATACTAAAACCACACATAAAACTAAATAGACGGAGGGGCATTCAGAAGGCAGCAATCGCCACTGGATCCAGTTCTCGTCTGTTGAGTTTTTAATGCTTCTCTGTACCAATTCCAATAATCAGATGGATGCAGTTTCACCATGACAGACAGATTTGACCTCAAGATCCTTTTTCCCCCCTAAGCTATCTAAATATTTAACAATCTACTGCAAAAAAGAAATATAGATATCTCGGTAGATACATCCTACAATCTGTTAAGTAGTTGCAATTCAAAGAACTATACAGTACGATTTGGTTTTGAGTGCTGCTTAAGCTAACATGGGCTGCTTTTATATTCTGCAAAAATATTCTTTATTGGCAAGTAAAAATTCAAATATATATATATATGAATGAGATTACATATTTGATTAAGTATACAGTAATATGACACCAAGTTTAAAATGATGTAACCCAGACAAAATCATGACGTGTGCATGCAGATGAAACAAAAATGATTTAAGATGTCTGCAACTACTCTTTTTTTGTTACAAGAGTAGAATTCAATTATTTCATTATGGATATTTGACCTAAATTAGGTCTCATTAAAGGAAGAACACACTTAAACATTACCATTTGCATATACATATATATATTGCTCCACAAAGAAGAAGCAGATCCTGCCACAGAGAAACCATTAGAGTACCCCAGGGTCAGAAGCAGTTAAAAAATCATTAAGAAATTTATTGCAATCTTTCCATCATTGGATAAAGGAAAATACATAGCAGGTTAATACGCTGTGTAAAATCTGTCCATTCTGGATCACAATTTTTAAGCAAAACTATCTCAGCTTTAATGTCTGTCTACTGGATGCGGTATGACTATTTCAATACTGTAACCACATAGGCTTTGTTCTGGAGTGAATTTTTGAATTGTGATTACATTGTTGTTACATTTTGTAGCAAGTAGAGTTATATAAAAATGTGAATATAATGTATGTATAATTGGATTGTTGATAATATACTTGCTAGCCTGAAGAGTCAACAATTTAAAAACTGTTTCCCACTTTATGTCTGAAAAAAAACAATCATTGGAAGCAAAGCTTTTCATTTACAATATACTTTTAGTTGACTTAATTTTTACTTGTAATCCTTTTCCTGTAATGAAATTCGGTAGAAAGCATCAAAGAGAAATATTTTCATTTCGAGGCTGTTATGACAAAACAGGCCAATACAGAGAATGACGTTAAAAGGGTAACTAGTTTTGTACAGCTAAGTACTTCACTGTTTACATTCCATTTGGTCTATTATTCATTTCAAAGTGACATAATATTCACATATCGTGATGTTTAGAACAGTTTCATTTGTTTTTATTAATTTTAAGAAGGATCCTGAGATTTAGAATCTCTCTAATTTTTGCAATTTTAAAAAGGTAATAATATAACAAAAACAGCAACATTCCAACTGGAACGTCTGAAAAAAATAAAGAAAACAATTACGTGTTTTTTATTTCTTTTATAGTAAGTCACCTACACCATTTTCAGTGACACCCTAACAAAGGGTTTGCTGCGTTTAAAACGAATATGATCTGGCTCATTTGATTTTCTGATGCAAGTCTCCCATTGTGGCTGAAAGTCATCAGTGTGCACATGCACAGACGTCATGTTGGCGACGTGACCAGCCAGACACATCCGTTTCACACAAGTGGTAAGGGAGGTTTTATTTTCTTTTTGCAATAATTTCCTATGTTAACATATTTGGCACGGGACATTGGCTGGGGGAAATGTGTTTACTGTACCTCAGCAATGTTTCCTGAAAGTGTTGAGTCTTCACACAGTACAACCCCTCCGGAGAAATGGAATAGGCCATTTTCTCCCAACATTCACACAAGTTGCCCCTGACGTACCTCAGGATGGTGACAGTTGCCATGAAGAGTGCTTCATCTAGAATTCCAGAACATGCACCCTCAACAGAGCAAAGGCATTATGGCATCATAAAACTGGCATAGAGAACATCCAAGCCTGAACTGCCTCTATGCCAATTCTGTACCAGGCAGTGTTTGAGGCAAAGGGAAGATCAAAGAAGACCCACTATAGCAAAAAGTGGCTTCATGAGAGATTTAGTGGTCCTGCTGAAAAAATGTTTACCGTTCAACAGTGTTTAATACAAGTTTATTTTCAGTTTCCAGATTGGATATTGTATGAGGAAAAATGGCTGGTTCTCATTTCTGCTAAGGGACTTGACCTTTGGATATGAGGCTTTAAAAGCTTTAACAATTTTTAGACAGCAAAAATTAAATAACACGATTAGATGCTTCATGGCAAATTACCACACTCGCATGTGACATTCTCTTCATGAATAATGTTACAATCAAGTTCTCAATTTTATTATATGTTTTTATTTTATCATCAACATTCACCTGCACTTTTTTTCTGTAAAATATTCAGAAGTCATTGTTTGAAGAGCTACACTCTGAACTTATGTCCTTCCACTCATTTTATCACCAAAAAATAAACACATCTTTCACAATCTACTCTACAGGCCTTGGTTCTGTGCACTGCTTCCGTTTTGCACACTGTGAGGCTTCTTGCTGTATTAACATCATTGCAAACAACACTGTCCTTTGATATATGGATGGACAGGCTGGTAGATTTTGAACACAAAACCTTTGGGGGGTAAATACAGTAAAAGTCTTAAGCAAACTGATATTGCACCTCTGGGGCAATTTTAGGCTAAAACAAAATAAAATGCAAACCACATTACACTCGGCCCTCTTGGTAAAACAGTTCTTGATTTTACACAATACAAAGAATTCCGTGACTCATGTTCATTACAGGAAAAGGAACTGTAACATAACCGTATCATTTATTTTGTTTGGTTTAAGCGAAAGGATAATGGGAGAAACTGATGGTGCTGCGATGATCTACCTGACTCTGTCATATATGATATCCAGTGATAAATATATTGTCTTGTACAAAAAGTTTGTACATAAATTGTACATGGTTTCATTTTGTATTTTCTCAAATTAAAATTGATGTATTTGTGTTCTAAGACTTTTTTTCTCATTATTCTTCTTTAATAATTTTTTAATTACCGCCAAATACAGTATATACTTCACATTAAGAAAACTTGGTCAGATTCATCCATGAAATGCGTGTTCCGTCCGTGTCGGTGTGCTCATGTGCTGTGCCTAGAAAATGTCTGTGAACCCCCTAGGTTGGCCCGTATTTTCATATATTTTAGACCAATAAAAAAATTTAGATGACAGTTACCAAATGTGACATAGAACACAAAGATGTAAGGCATATTATTTATAAATTTTAATTAACAAAATTATCCCAATGTAAATATCCTCGCATGAATAAGTCCGTGAAAGTTTAGATTCAGGGACTGATGCCACCACCTCCTTGAGCAGCAATGACTTCAACTAGACGTTCCCTGTAACTGTTTAACAGATTCTTGCATCAGCTTTCAGGAATTTTGGGCCCGTTATTTCTTACAGAAATTCAACTTTTAGAAGTCATTTTTATGGTGATATTTTGGTTTGTTTCAGGAATGAATGCTGACATTCCTCAACACTGAAAGTTGCTCATGTCTTTTTGACTTTCTGGATAATCTTCCAAGCTGGTCCTGGGAGATTCTGTCAGGATGACTAGTCCTGGGTAGAGACACTGTATTCTTGAATATTTTGCAGAGTGTCTGACAGTGTATGGATGGAGCCCCAGACATTCAGAAATGGTTTTGTTACCAGACTGATCAGCATCGACTTTCCTCCGAAATCTCTTGCTCGTGACATGACATGGGTCTGTAATTTGAAGACCAAACTCAAAGATAATGGGACAGGGCTCCCCAAATTCAGTCCTCGTTTACTTGTTACCCAATTATCTATGCACTCAATCACCCCCATTTGGATGTATTAAGCAAACTAAGGGTTTGCTTATTTATTATTATTTTATCACATACACCAATTCTTAATTATGGATTTTTTTCTACTTCATTCACCACTGTCTCTCAAAAAACTGAATTCATCAATATGAACCCTGTTTATTATTTAAGAAAAGACTGTTTTCAAATACACAAGGGTATCATAGTAAGAAACTGTAATTCCCATAAATATATTGAGGCTCACACACCCTTCCTCAGCACTGTACTGTGTACTGATGCTGTCAAGCTTATTAACTCCTCTTTCATTCTCAATATTGTAAAATACTTAATTATTTCAGCATATCTCTAATGTTGAGTGCTAGTATCCGATTCGAGTTAGGAGCATACATAGTGTTGGAATTATTAGAATTACCTTAGTATGTGTTTTGCCAGATTGTGTCTGCCTGGATAACTGAGGCTGCCCAGTATTACAGTGATAAAGTTACACCGTGCTGTGACAAAATAGCAGTTTATCACTTTTTAAAATCTTTGACAAAATATTTAAATTCTAATTGCACTGTGACATTAATAGGAAGACTGCAGTCAAGTAAAAAATGACAATATGAAACTCCGGAGTTTCTATAATGGTAAAAGAAAATGACAACATTCTGAACAGTTACAGTACACCCAGGCAACAGAAATAGAAAACTCTGGGGCTGTGTTGTAGAATGAAGTCTTTTGATAGTACAATGATTTACTCTACTTGGTATATTTGCTTTCCCTTGAAAATTCTTTACGGGCTAATGAAATTAAGTAAATTAGCATACAGAGCGTAGCACAATTTCATCCAATTAGTTCATATGTCATTAATAGTAATATAGGCATTTTAATTTACAGTCATAAACTTAAGGGACACTGTTCTGATGCCACACAATATGATGTATGCATCTATTATGCCCAGTGCATGTTTTAAATATTTTCCTTATTTGTTGAATAAAAAGAACTACTGAGCTGCCTCTTTTTTAACATTTTTTTAAAATTGGTAAATCCAGCTTTAAGATGAAGTTTAAGAAAAAAAAGAAGGTTTAAGGCTAATGTTTATAAAGAAGAAAACTATGTAAAAGTACAGCAGACGGAAATTGAGATTAAATTGAACTGTATATAGTGCTCTTTCCACCAATCTATGTATCCTTACAATAAATATAATAATGGAAGCTGTAAATAAGAAGAGAGGTGGGTGACTGGGAGGCCAAGAATATGTACAGTAGGTGAATTTTGATTTAATGGTATTGTTAGCCATATGGACATCAAATAGGAATGAATCTTAGGAAGACTAAATTGTGTTTTCTATAAAATCACATACAGTATGGTAGTGGAACAGTGAAAGAAAAATGAAAGATTAAACATTAAAATAGCCCTAAGCAATGCAAGAAATGCTTTTAGGGCCAGATGCTAAATTGTTTGAGGGCAGTATTTTTTTTTTAAAAAGTCATCGGCTATTTTTTGTACTGATCACACTTTAATAATTAAATATCTGAGGCATACTGTCAAACCGCTTACTTCAAGATACACAAGGATTACTGGCAGTCCCAACATCGGGACTAAGAGAATGTTGCTTTAAAGCCGTTTTGGGCAGACAGATGAGAATTTAGGAATGAACACTAAGAAAACGTTTGTGACCCCCGCTAGGCAGGTCCACAGTCTTGTATATTTCAGACCTAAAATGCAAAAAAGATCTTTAAATTCTTAATAAAAGAAGGAGATTACCTGATTAGACAAAGAAATAACTTTTAATTAATTTTAATTAACAAAACGATTCTTCAGTAAATATAGTTGTATAAATAAGCCTGCAAATGTTTAGATTTAGTAACTGGTGGCCCCTCATTGAGAAACAACAACTTTAACTAGATGTTTCCTGTAACTGTGTTTTTGTCTCTTGCATCGGAAAGGATTGAATTTTTAGCCCTTTTCCCCGACAGCATTCTTAATGTTGGTGAAATTTGAGAATTTTTTTGCATAAATGGCTCACTTCCAGTCCTGTCATAACACTTCAATGGTGTTTAGGTAGAGACTGACTTGGCCAATCCACAAGCTGAAATGTCTTCTTCTTCTTCAGCCATTCTGTTGCAAATGCGCTTGTAAATTTGTAATCACAGTCTACCTGTGTGACCAACTTTTTGCTCAGCTTCCGCTGTCAAACGGGTGACCTGACACTCTCCTCCAGAAATTGCTGATACAACACCAGATTGATGTTTCCATCAATGCCGGTAAGGCATCTGGGTCCTCAGGTAACAAAGCAGCCCCAACCATGACATTCCCACCATGAGATGTTTAGAAATTGCTTTGTAACCATCTTCAGAATGATGAGCATCAACTACTCATGAGTCCTCTGAAATCACTTACTTTCCACTAACTTGCATGATGAATACCAAACTCAAACTAGAAACTATGCGATTCTAATTATCCCCTTTACTTAATATTTCACATGTACCAATTCTTGATTTTTCATTTGTTCTACTTCATACACCACTGCGTCTCAAAAATCATGGATTTGGGAAAGATGCATTTCTTAAATGACTCTGGGTTATTTAAGAAAAGACCAGTTTAGATCCAACAAGGGTATAATGCTAAGGAATTGCAATTCACATAATTATACTGGGGTTTCACAAACCTGTTCTTGGCACTAAATATATTTAACTATAATAGCCTTTGCACCATCAAGAGCTACAGTAGCATGGAGAACATTATCATTAAGACCTCTTAAAATGCATAATTAGCTTCTTTAAAATGCAGTTATTGGCTTCTTTTATGTAGCTGCCATTTTGATGAGATCCAGCCACTAACAATCACCACTGCACTAAACAAGAGTTCTGCTTTTCATTAAACAACTTCCAATGGTTTATACTGAGAGTTGCTAAAAACACAGTAAATTAATACAGTAAACAACAAACTGTTGTCCTATGATTTCTCTCAGAATTTATTTATAATCATAACCTATGCAAACATGATCATTAGAGACTCCCAGGGTTCAAATCCCAGGTAAGACTACTTTCCCTTTGAGCCAAGGTGCTTCAATATCATACCTAGCTGTATAAATGGGCACACACATACTGTAAATTGCTTTGGATAAAGGTGTGAACCAAATAATAACAACTTCTTACACTTATACGGCACTTTTCTGGACACTTCACTCAAAGCACTTCACAGGTAATGGGGACTTCCCTCCACCATGTGCAGTCCTATCTGGATGATGCGACGGCAGCCATAGTGCACCAGAGCGCTCAGCACACACCAGCTCTCAGTGGGGAGGAGAACAGAGTGATGAAGCCAGTTAAGAGATGGGGATTATAAGAAGGCCAAATAATCTTATTTCCTTAAATTAAAAACAAAACAAAGGACAAAAACAGAAATTAATATGCACTGACCTGATGTAATGCTCAGAATACTGAAAGCACATGAAGGAAGAAGACTGCTTCAAGGTAAAAGATCAGTTCTGCATCTTGCATAAAACAAGGATTAACCAAGTAAAAAAAGTAAAGAAACTGTGATACAAGAACACAAAGCTTTTAAGAATAAGTATTGTATCAATTATATCTGTTTTTGTCTTTAAGCAGATTAAGCACTGCAAATGATTAAGAAATGTCTATAAGGCCACAGGAAGGACCGATAAAACATTTGTCAACTAGGTTTCTCATACCAATAAATGGCATAAAACTACCATTAAACTGTGACAAGTCACAAAGGAATAATTCCTGTGACAGATTGACTTGGTTTACATGTCTATTTTGTGTTTAAATGTTAAGCCTGTCATTTTTTCTGGGAACGTGGGTGTGGGAGTATGGAACAAACTACGCAGTCCTGTTGTTGTAGCCAATACCCTGGTTTCTTTTAAGAAACAGCTGGATAAGATCCTGAATCAATTAACTACAACTACCAAAGAGGCTAGATGCACCCAACAGCCTCTTCTCGTTTGGAGCCTTAATGTCCTTATTTACCCGTGTTTCCCTGAATGCCATGCAGATGAAAGAAATTGGGAATGATGTCATATTTAAATTAGCCCTGTGTACAAGACTCACTTAGACTACTCCGCAGTTTACTAGTGCCTGAAACCTGATGAATGAACGGATTTGTTTCTTCAATAAGATAATCCTTGTGTGATCGTGTTTGGGGAATAAGCTCCAAATTGC